TTTTTCCATGCGAAACAAGCGAAGAAACGGCCAAAAAATGTTTTTCTCTCTGACCGCTCTCCGCCTTTTCCGTACTCTCTCAGAGATCGTTGAATATCTCGGCTGTCCCTGCAAAGCACGAGCTAAAATTTTCAGGAATTGATGTGTGGCTTATATGAAAATTTTAAAGAAAATCTAAGCGTTGCAGTTTTAACTTACAAGTTCTAACAATAAGCTCTTGTAAGTTAAAATTTTTAGTTTATAAAACGCTCTCGATGGATGAGATTTGAGGGGATGTTTTATAGCCACTTAGGGACTTGTTATTGTCTTGTCTTTGAAAAGGTTGGTGCTTCAAGAAGATGGCAATAAAGATTTGTGAATTAGAGAGGGTCGTATTATTGGGAGCTTTTACAAACTCTTGAGGGAAATCTATCAAAATCTTTTCCAGGTAGCTACAGCGATTATTTGAGATTTGAAATTTGTCATTCCAAGGTCCTACTCTCGTATTTTTTCTGATTTTTTGCATTACCTTTCTTCGTCCCATAGAACTCCATGCGGCCAATTGCCCTTTCCATTTCTCTCCGGAGTTATTAGAAATGCATGTTTTAACTGGGTTCAGACCCATTGCTCCCATTCCGAAAGTTAATCTCGAACATCTCCCCCCAAACTCCTTGACCTCCTTTCCTTTCCCCTCAGGGCTTATTCCACAAATTTCCGGTCCCATTTTTGGGAATGGCAGCTGGAGTTCCGAGGAAGGTCTTATACAAATTGAAATATTAATCGAAATGTTTTCAACGTTCCCCTCCGAATCTGAGGAGCCTGAGGCGATGACGTCGAGTTCAAGAGCCTTTTTGAGGCATTTCCAAAGTTTTGAGGAGTTTTGGGACATCCAGGGTGGAACTGGGAGTAGAATACAGTGGAATGGAGGGGGAGGTGGGGTAAGTTTGAAAGTTTGTGGACTTGAGATCATGAGACAGCCAAAAAGTCAAGATTTTTTTAAATTCCCGAGAATTCTGAGCAAATTTTTTTCATAAAAATTTAAAATTTTTTTTACAAAAAAAAAACTTTTTATTTAAGAAGAAATTTATAGCTTTCTTTTATTTTTATCCTACGTCCTGCGGTGTTGATTATTCAACTTTTCAAATATTTCCCCCCATTTCTCACGTAGTCGTTTTCCATGTCCAAAAAAGGGCCCATTTCTATAAATGTTTTTGTTTCTTCTATAAATAATTTAAAACAGATTGTGCGAGAGAGTCGAACACCCAGTGCACACGAAACAAGAATTCATAGCATGACCTCCATACTGTCACCAATGATAGTACTTGGAATAACGAGTACAATTTTTTTTTTAAATTTTGATTTTTTCGCTTACTGTAGGTGTACTGTAGCATTTTCATATTTTCTGTATCTCGATAACGACAGGTCGGATCGCCTTCGGACCTTTTTCATATGATAGATCTTGAAATTCTAAGCAAGTTCATAGTTGGAAATATTTTTCTGCACTTCGGTTTAGTTGCCGAAAAATTAGCATAATTATGCAAAAAATCCTCTTTCAACTTTTTTTGCAAAAAGTACCCATTGTTGATTACTTTTAAATTGGCTTGAAAGATTCCGTACATCATGACGATTCGAACGGTACCAATTTTGTCGTTCAAAGCGGGGCCACACTCGAGAAATGCCTATGGAAAGTTAAGTCATCATGGTATTACAGTAACCCAAAATTGTTACTAACGGTGATAGAAAGGTCCTCTTAAGTTCAGTTGGTCATAGATGCCACCAGTGTATCCTTACTATGTTCAAAAACCCGCTTTCGCCACGCTTTTACGTGATATAATGCCTTAGGGGATTTACAGGACTTTGCTGTATTTTGTCGTTTACAACAACAAGACATTAACAAAACTGTAGTTATTATCTTCCATGCAAAAATAAAATACATTCGCTGTGTTTCTGACATTTGCAACATGTTTTACGGGACTTAGAAAGGACTTTGCCTAAGGTAAAATTCGAAAATTTTAGTTTTTTAGGAAAGTTGTGAATCATATTGAATAAGCCTAGAAATTATTGTTTACAGATATAGAAGGCTCAAAAAAGCTGTTTCAATTCTGCAACAGCTAATTTATGCAAGTTTTTATGCGCGGTCCGGTCATAATGGTAAACTTGTGATTATTCCAAAACTAGGCATTTTATCTCAATGAACTTACAAGGGAAGTACTTGAAGTGTGACGCTCAGATTTTGATGAAACTTGGCATAAATTTAGAATAATTTTTTCTAAGATATATGCGAGAATCCTAGCTCGCGCTTTACAGAAACAACTGAGATTTTTAGATCAAAAGTCGGCGAAAATTTAGGACTTTTTGCCGAATTTCGGCACGAAAAGTTTCATGCCTATTTCAACTGTAAAGGATAATGTTTCTACAAAAAATCAAATTTTTCCGCACGAAACTGCCAAAGTTATGGCCAAAAAGCGCTTTTCTCTCTGACCGCTCTCCACGTTTAGCGTGCTCTCTCGGCGGCAAAAATCGTTCGATATCTCGGCGGCGCCCGCAAAGCGCGAGCTAAAACTTTCAGGAATTGATATTTAGTCCATACCCGATGTGTGTGCAAAATTTAAAGAAAATCTGAGCGTCACACTTGAAGTACTTCCCCTGTTAGTTTTAAAGACGTGGAAATGCATTAAAAAGCTGACAGTAGTGATATTTTTTTATGTCAAACCTGTGACTATAATTTTAAAATTCCTGTGACTATACTTATATAATTTTAAAAATGTCTTACAAAAATCGCCTCGTTTTTCTAAATCGGAAAGGATTTTTCAGAAAAGTAGTGTTTCCAACAAAAATGAAGTGTTTTATAAACATAATAAAAAATTTTGACGGAATTTACATAAAAAAAAACACAGATATTAACATAATGGCATCTTGCAGAAAAATTTGCATAAATTTATTATTTCTTAATCGTAAACGCGGGGACAGCCTTCTTTGAGCTTTGTTCAACAATGAACAAAAATTTCTATGCTTATTGAATAAATTTCACAAGTTTTCTAAAGTAATAAAATTTTTTGTATTTTTCCTAAGGCAAGGTTTCCTAAAAATCCCCTAAATCTAATAAGAATACATGTGAGATGATTATTCTTACATGAAAGACCGATAGCCACAGCTTTACGTATTTCTTTTTGTTGCAAATGACGAAATACAGCAAAGTCTTGTAAATCCCCTAAGGCATTATATCAGGTAAAAGCGTGGCGAAAGCGGGTTTTTGAACATAGTAAGGATACACTGGTGGCATCTATGACCAACTGAACTTAAGAGGACCTTTCTATCACCGTTAGTAACAATTTTGGGTTACTGTAATACCATGATGACTTAACTTTCCATAGGCATTTCTCGAGTGTGGCCCCGCTTTGAACGACAAAATTGGTACCGTTCGAATCGTCATGATGTACGGAATCTTTCAAGCCAATTTAAAAGTAATCAACAATGGGTACTTTTTGCAAAAAAAGTTGAAAGAGGATTTTTTGCATAATTATGCTAATTTTTCGGCAACTAAACCAAGATGCAGAAAAATATTTCAAACAATGAACTTGCTTAGAATTTCAAGATCTATCATATGAAAAAGGTCCGGAACTGATGCGACGCGTTGTTCTCGAGATACTAAAAATACGAAAATGTTACAGTACACCTACAGTAACCCAAAAAATTAATTTTTTTCAAGCGGTTTGTAATTCTTATCACGAGTACTATCTTTAATACTGATATGAAGAGCCATCTGTAACATCTTGTTTCGTGTGCACAGCCTGGCTCTCAATGCTCGATCTTCTCAAAAAACGTGTTTTAATGATAATATCTATAGTAAAATTATAAGTGGTTTCTTCCGTGTTCCCACCCGTTTAAGTTGAGTGCTCCGCGTTCTTCAGGCGTTATTTTTGGCGAGATTTTGGAATTTTTAACGGGTAAAATACGTGGCATAAATTTTTTTTTCCGAAGCTAAGATATGTATAGATAAATTGAGAAACTAAAAATCGCATTTTTTCAAAAAAAATCAAAAAATTTAGACTCAAAAAATAAAAAAAATAACTTTTAAAAATTTGGTTATTGGTCACTCCCAAAAACTCGCTCGAATTCCCCCAAACAACAACCTAATTCAATTACTTTGTTTACCGCACGTGCCAAGCTCCTTACCGTTTTTTTTTGTCATCGGTCATCCTCTTTTTCTGCAGCTTCCAAAATCTTTTTTTTACAATTATTGGCCCTTCAATCTTGAAATTACTTCTCCTTGAATGGACATCAAAGGAGAGAGGTCTCTCTGATCTGTCTCCCACTTCTCCCGCGACTCCTTTCCAGGCCTCAAAGTTGGGGGATTCCGTTTATTCAATTCCCCGCATTCCTCGGCGGCAAAATCGAATCGGAAACAATTTTTTCGTTTGTTGGCGGCCGAGTGCCTCGAGGAAAACAGGAAAAATATAAATCGACGGCCTTTTGGCCACGAAGAAGGGCCAATCGAGCAGTGAGAAAGAACGTTTCAAGGGGATTCCGCCCCGCCCGAAAATGGGTTTCGTCCCGTTTTTAAACAAGTTTTCTATACGTTTCGCTCGGATCATCCACGTGGCCTGAGGGCTTTTCGAGAGCCGTCGTCATTTATCAGCCGGGAATGGCGTCGCTGGAAAAGAGCCCCTCGAACTGGACGAACTGCGTGGATTTTGGTGCGGGAATGAGGGTTTTGGGTATTATACTTGGATTTTTTATATTGTGAGGGTAGTATTCTATGGTATAGTTTACATTTTATCACTTTTTCTGTAGGGTTTTTGTCGAAAAATTCCAAATTTTTAATTTTTTTTTCAAAAAAATTTTTTGCCTCAAGACTAAAACTCCACAAAAATATCTTTTTAAATTTGGCTATCTACGTCTATATCTTGACTGTAACCGCCTTATTTTCCAAATTTACCGCGATTACCCCTATTTTTCCCCAATTTATTCACATTTCTTCCATAATTTCCCTCAAAAAATCCAATCCATTTTCCCAGGTTATGAACCTCAGCCGTCGATGGCACTGGCTACTCCCAATCCTCATCGGTGTTGCCTGGGGCGATTACGCGCCTCTTTCACACAATTGCGCCGCCTTTCCGGAACGTGAGATCAAGATTACGTTGGGGGTTCTGCTCCCCGAAAGTTATCAAGCCTCGATTGGATCGGCCATCGAACTGGCCTTGAAACATGTCCATTCCAATCCAAATCTCATCCCAAATTATTGCATCGACATCTTATATAGAGATACTCAAGTGAGTTTTTTAGAAATTTAAGTTTTCCTATATTGTAGTATATAGGTATCAGCTATTATTTCTGATGATTTTAGTGTAAGACCTCGCTTGGAATGAAGTCTTTGTTCGAGCTGATGAACGCCGAGCGACGTCCTGTTGCTCTGTTTGGAAGTATGTGTACGAAAGTGAACGAGCCGGTCGCTATGGCCTCAAAATACTGGAATATCCTGCAGTTATCGTATGCCGAAAGTCATGCCAAGTTCAGCTCGGCGGATGCGAATGAGGTAAAATACGATATTTTAAGACTACCTTCATTTACTAGCAATTTTTATAAGCACAAAATTTAACCTAGACAGTGAAAGTTTGAATCTTTTTTTTGGATATTTATTGTAGTTACTGCAAGATGAATGTGTGTAAAGACAAGTATAACATCGCCTCTGAAATTGCATGTTTGGTGCCTAGAATGTATGAGGATAATCTAGTTTATGGGTTTCTTTTCCAATGGCCCCATTTTCGGTTGATAAATGCCGACGGCTCTCGAAAAGCCCTCAGGCCACGTGGATGATCCGAGCGAAACATATAGAAAACTTGTTTAAAAACGGGCTGAAATCTATTTTCCGGACCCTTCGGCATCTTTATTAGTCATAGTTTTTTGCAAAAAATATCAAAAAAAATGATGACTAAATAAATACCTACTACAATATAATCATTCAGCTCTACCCGACCTTCTTCCGGATCGTGCCTGGAGATCGGAATTTGATCTCAGCTCGATGCCATCTCATCAAATCCTTCAATTGGACTCGGGTTGGGACCATAAAGCAGAGCGATCAGCCACGATATTCGCTTCCTCATGAGAGCCTGACAACTCAACTGGAGAACACGTATGACATTCAAGTCATTTACACGGCTGGAGTGACTTCGGATCAGTTGAAAAACATTGGCTACGAGTTGGACGAGCTGAAGGTGAGGGTAAAATACGCGGTTGACAGTTGAAGGTCGAGATTTCGAAGGGTTTTTTCAATAGAAATTTTTACTTTGAAGTCGCAAAAGTTTTGATTTTCGCATGTTTTTTCTGCTTTTTACAAATTTTTTTACCTTTTGTCATCAAAAATATAGCCTCAAGTCCCTTCAAATTTCAGTCCCGAGACGCCCACATCATCGTCGCTGACATGGAAACGGAGCTCGCTCTCCACGTTCTCTGCGAAGCCTACAGCAAAGACATGTTTGGAGTGGATTATCTGTGGGTGCTGCCCGGCTATCATCAGAACAATTGGTGGATGGATGTGAGCGAAACGAATTGCACGTTGGAGCAGATGGAGAAGGTGCTGGAATACCATTTATCGGTCGAGTTTGCGCCTCAACGAGTGAATACTGAGGATGTGATTATTAGTAATCATACTGTGGATGAGATCTTGGGAGATTTGAATGGTAAGTTGAGCAAAAAAATATAGAAGACCTATTTTTCACAGATTTACCCGACAAATTTAATGTTTTTAGGAGTCTGTGTCGCCGAGGAGTCCGCCTCCTGTCTGACTTCAGTCTACAACACCTATGCCTATGATGGAATCTGGGCCTTGGCTCTGGCCCTAAATGAGACCTTATATGGCCCTGGAGGACCTCAAGGAGAGGAAGAAAGCGCCGAGATCACTGCTCATCGGCTATTACAATTGATGGGGAAGGATCAGTTTGAAGGGCTGACAGGGAGAGTAAAGTTTGATCATAATGAGAGATTGGGGCTGGTCTACGTTTACCAGTGGATCAATGGGACCTATATGAACATGGGGTACTATGACGGCACAGTGGACCGATTCGATATTCACAAAATTGAGGAGTGTAAGTGTGAGGGAGGATTCTTATTTTTTGAATTATAGAATATTTGAATATGCGAATTTTTAGAGAAAAAATAAGCAAAAATTTTTTAAACTTCATTTTTAACACATGCAGATCATTTCTAATAAAATTTCAAAAAATTTATTGAAATTTGCATATTTAAAAAATTTAAAAAATTGCATATTCAAATTTTTTAAATAAGGAATAAATAAGCTAAAAATTTTTTGGGTCAGTTTATGGCCTATGCAGGATATTTTTCTCAAATTTAAAAAAATTGGCTAAAATTTGCATATTTAAAAAAAACGTAAAAATTTGCGTAAAATTTGCATATTATAATTTTTGCAAATTTTTCAGCCTGGACTGTTCCCCGCGACGCCACCGTCGTAATCCGTCAACGTCGCTATGTGAACTACTTTCTATTGGGTATTATGTGTGCCATTTCCATATTTGGAATGCTCGTGGCGGCGCTTTTCCTCTTCCTCAACATCAAATATCGCAACCACAAATTCATCAAAATGTCCTCTCCCAACATGAACAATGTCATCATCTTCGGCTCCATGTGTTGCTATGCCTCTGTCATTTTACTGGGAATCGACACCAGATTCGTGGGATCCAATGCTTTCGAGAAGTTGTGTTACGTACGTTAATTTTGGATGGTATGTTATCCGAATTTAGATCAAAACCTGGGTTCTGAGTGTGGGCTTCACGCTGGCGTTTGGGTCGATGTTTTCGAAGACCTGGCGAGTCCATAGTATCTTCACGAACATCAGGAAAGACAAGAAAGCCATCAAGGACGCCCAGTTGTTCATGATTGTGGCCTTGCTTTTGTTCATCGACGGCTTGATCTTGGGGGCTTGGTCGATTATCTCGCCGTTTCGCTTCAAAATCACAGAACATGAACCTGTGGTGAGTGTAAAATACGGTATCCGTAGTAATGAGTAGAAATTTCGATTTCAAATTTTTAAATCATTGTTTTGTAAAATACGAAGTCCATAATAACTTTTTCAGAGGGTCAAAAATCAACTAGTGATCCCAGAACTGGAGCGATGCCAAAGTGATTACGCATTTTTGTTCCAAGGAATCTTTTATGTCATCAAGGGAATGCTCATGGTATGTTTACATAAAATACGTTGTATCCATCAAAATATTTATTTATTTGGATGGGACATTGTTACGATTTCACGAGGTGTATCTCTGCAAGCGATCAATGTATAATACATATTCTATACGATTTTTGAAAGTTTACGGCCAACAAAAACATTTTTCTTTGACTGCTCTCCGAATTTTGCGTTCTCTCTCGCTAGATCGCTGCAGATTTTTTCTTCAAGGCATGAAAAAAAATTTAGTAATTTTTCCGTAACTTTGATAGCAGTACGGATACGGACCGATCCAGTGGCAAAAAACGTTCCATTTTGCATCCGGGAAGTATCAAAAAATGTAGCAAAATGCCTCCATTCCAAATGAAAAAACTTCGTTTTGAAGGGTCTCCCTTACAAAAAGAGCAGACGCGCTTTGAAACCGGAGTTTTTGACTTGGAAAGGGAGGCATTTTGCTACATTTTTGATACTTTTTGAATGGCAAATGGCATTTTTTGTCACTAGATCAGGTCATCCACTGTATGTGCACAAACTTTAAAGAAAATGTCAGCATTACTTTGCCAAAAAATAATATTGCCATCTACTGTAACATTGCAGATATTCGGCTGTTTCCTGGCCTGGGAGACCCGCGCCGTCAACGTCCCCGCCCTGAACGACTCCAAATACATCGGAATGTCTGTATATAACGTGGTTGTGATGAGTGTGATCGGGGTGGCGTTGGCGGTGATGCTGCAGGACCGTGTGACCGAGTCCTTCATCCTCACCGCCATCCTGATCATCTTCTGCACCACGCTGACGCTGTGTTTGGTGTTTGTGCCAAAGGTGGTGGAATTGTTTCGAACGCCTCGCGGGACGGATGCGCAGCGCTACAGGAAGGGCATGATGAAGAGTATGGTGGGGAAGAGCAGCACGGAGCGGCTGCACAGACAGCTGTCCATGTGAGTTGATTGTAAACCAATGTTTTTGCAATTCTTTTGACTGTAAAAAATGTAAAATACGCCATAAGTGAAGATTGGTTTACTGATTTAATTTTCAGCCGAGTCTCCGAAGGAATCAAAGAAAAAATTGTTCAGATTGAAGAAGAAAACCTAAAACTTCATCAAATTTTGGTTACTGTAAGTTCTTTGGCTACTTATTTGTTGTAAAATACGCCAATGAGAATTCACAAATTACTTTTCTTTTATAGAGATCCGCCGAATTATGGGATTTGTTGGAACGCCTCCGATTGATTGGCTCTCAAAATTGTTTGGATCGGAATGGAAAAATCCACAGTAAGCGATGGCTTTTAAAAAAAAAACAATTCACTTGTTTTATAATATTTTTTTGATTGGCCGGAAAAACGCTATATCTTGAGCAGAAGGGTTCATAAAATTTGTAATTTTTTTTGGGGAGTGACGATTGGGGAAACTGAAAAATGTTTTATTTCTTCAATGCAAGTGCCGAAATTAGGACAATCGATGGCGCTGATTTCGAAAAGGAGGATTTTTTTTTGACTCTTACCTTTTCCTTGCTTCAGGAGTCAACAAAAATTTATATTTTCAAAATCAGCACCATCCAAAACCCCTAAATCGAAAATTTGTAAAAAAATTTAAAAAATTACGACTTTACAGTACTACTTAAGCAATGATCAAAAAATTATGAATGTCATTTTTAACATCAGCGCCACTGATTAGCCTAAATTCGACACTTGTGTCGAAGGAAAGTAACACTTTTCGGTTTCCCCAATCGTCTTTTTTCCCAAATGTCGGCGTTCCTAATTTTTTGGCGGGCTTTTTGATTTGTCCAGTAAAAATTTTATACAAAAGTTGTTTTGCGAACCGCAGAGTCGTTTTTTCGTGTTCTGGCCCACTCCCAAAAAAAGAATTTTTCCGAGCTGCGCCCAGCTTCGAAGTGACAGTTTTTTAATGGTATTGACGGTGATTTTTCTGAATTAGAGCGTAATGATGATCTGAGATAGACTAGAACTAAATAAAACACTAAGGGTACCATTAAATCACCTTTTTTTTGAAATTTTAGACATCACCCTTACTTGTTTGTTCCCAACCTGCAGCCTGCGAAGAAATTCAAAAATAAAAAATTTCTTCATTCAACCATTAATTTTTGCTTTTCAGGCAGCCGAAGCAGCAACTTGTGCTGTGTTTCCTCCGATGAGAATCCGTCCACTTCCCTGTACGAAGCCAGCAATCGAAAGAGTTCTTCGAGTAGCCTAAGGTAATTTATGATTTTTTACAAAAAATTGAGGCCCTGTTCTACACTCATTCGAAATCTTGGGTCGTATTTTACCCTCAAATGTGGCCATTTTCAGCAAGACCGAGACGTTTTCCTCGCTGTTCCGTCGCCCGTCCAATGGCAAGTCCATAGTGGTGAAGCAAAAGGCCGAAAGTGGATGGCCATGGCTGGATCCGAGTCAGCCCTCGACCATGTTGTGAAAAATATGTATTGTAAAATACGTGGCCTTTATTTTCATCTCTATCTTTTTTATAGTTGAAGAAAGCGATTTCTAGGCAAAATTTTACAGAAGATACAATAATTTTTGCTTCAAAAACCTAAAGTTTTAATTTTAATTCCGTTTATTTATATAACAGTCAACATTTTTAGTTGAATTTTTAATGCCAAACTCTTGGACTATGTCCGCTTTTCATGCCGATTTCCCTCCGCTTTTCTTGCCTTTTTCTCTGCTACAAAAACCGGTCTCTCAGGAATCTAAATCTCTCCTCCTCTTCAGGTTTCACACAATACTTTTACTCAAAGCAATGGTGCCAATTCCTATTTTTTTATGTTATAATAGTAGAATTCCTGAAATGATACTCAATGTATGCTCAACTGAATCAGTAATAAAGACGTTAAACAACAGGTCGTATTTTAAACAACATATGAACAGATATGGGGCTATTTACAGCTTGGAATACTGGAAGTAGGAAGAAAGTTCTGGAGGAATTTGTGTGTCATTCGACGCTTTTTTTCGGATGAATTCAAGTGTGAATCCGGAGAAATGTAAGTGAAAAAAAACAAGTGAAAAGTGGTCGAGAAAACAGCTGGGCATAAGGTGTTCAGCTACGGCCATAGCTCAGAGATAGCCCTACTTTTTACAATTGAAAAATATGTGCCTCTGGGCTACTTTAGAATCTGACAACTTTTTTATTTGTCATTTGGCTTGTCTTGGCGTGATATCGCTCTAAACATCCCTCTTTTCCGGCCAAGAGGGATGTTTAGAGCGACTCTTTTATATCTCATAGTACAATTTAAATTTGCATTTTTTTTTGGATTTTGTTTTATATTCTAGCGCAAAGATATTTGATTTGTGACCCACTGAACCTTCTCGAAGGTCTTTAGACAAATCTCTGACGATGATTAATTCCGCCCGATCAGATTGGAATAAGCGGCAATTAAACGGACGTCAAAAAGAGTTTATTCAAATCGGGTTAAGGCCTCCATAATTGCGGTTAATTGGTCATGAAAGGTCGTTTGGGATCTTGAACTTGAGCAGAGATTTTTGGGCTCTAAAGAGCCGTTGATTACCGTAGTTTAGGCTCGTTTCAACTCGTGATGACTTAGTCTCCCAAAAACTTCCAACGCACTCCCCAACGTCTCCGATCACATTTCCAAGACTTTACGTGGAACTAAGACCATTAATTTGACAATTACTTTATTAAAAGCCTTGCCGGCAACTCTTGGCGGTCACAAAAACCCTTTCGGAATCGCCCAAGGTCATCTTCCGGGTCGATTTTGATTGCGGCGTTCAAATTACTTGGGAATTGAGTGGAGATTTTACTTTTGTTTGATGCAGAGCCAAACTTTTTACAATGGAGAAGGGAAGATGGTACGGACAGAGGGGAAGAAAGGACAAGATGGGACTTTCAAGGTTATGCGGGGACGGTCGGAGGACCGATCAAGGAGTGGGGCAGTTTCTGGTGTAAAGAGGAATGTAGGAAACGGAATTTGGACGAAAATTAGGGTTATTGATCATCAGTTTAGTTGATTCTGGCATCTGTCTTGCCAAATATGAGATTTTGATCTTCTTTTGGTCTTGGCAAGCCCATATCTTAGTTAGATTAAGTAAGAAAGGTGCTGACAGTTTGAGTCTCGGTCTGAATTTTACATAAGTCTACTTTAGCTGAATTCACTACGAATCTCCCCTAAGGCCTGTGCATTTTAATGCAAGAGGTATTTACACACCTTGTAAGATCATCATTGAAATTTGTGCCAAGTTTTACAGGGTCTTTCAAGAAACGTGAAGGAAAGTCGGAGGCTCTAACTTCCTGCGAAGGCGACGCAGAGACTTCGTTTTTGGAATGTGTATGTATTTTTAAGCGACATTAATTTTCTCCTATGAAATAACAAAACTTTAAAGATTTTCAACCGAAAAAATCGAAAATTTCTCCATGATTTTCAACCAAAAAACACTGGCTCTCGGGGTGAAAGGGCTCTACTTCAAAAGGCCGTAGAGACCTCAGTTTGCACTATAAAATCTTGTTATTTTACAGGCAAAAATTAATGTCGCTTAAAAATGCATATTCCAAAAACGAAGTCTCTGCGCCGCCTCCGCCGAAAGTTATGGCTTCCGACTTTCCTTCACGTTTCTTGAAAGACCCTGTATAAGACATAGTATGTAGGTCCTACTTTGAGCACTGACTCTATAAACCTTGTCATCACTCCATTAAAAACATAAAATACTCTTGTATTTCCAGCCCAATCAAACCCTCCAAATTCCCCTACTCAAGCCCAATATCCTCCTCCCTCTGACCCATCGTATCCCCGTATCTTCGCTTATCTCTTGATCGCTTTAAACTGAATTTCCGTTTGATCTTGTTGGCTGATCTCTAGCCAATCCAAAGTGCACATATCTCGCGCAGTAAACCGCTAACGTACCGAGTGTAAAGTGTTCGTTGTAAAGAGTCCACCCTCTTCTCGATCAGAACTTTCTGTTGCCTTTTTTGGTATTTGCAAAAAATTCTTGATGGTCGAGAACTTTTTGCAGTTTGAGATAGGGAAATTTGATAATCTTGGCGTATTTTATGAATATTTTTGGCTCAAAAATTTCTCCGAAATGCTTCAAGAAAGAGCCTAGAGTGTAATCATTACGACAATGTTGATTTCCAATTAAAATTTAGTCCCGCTTTGACCTAATTCTATATTGTAGTAGGTACCCAGACCCTCCCAAGACCACAATCCCCCAACCCTCTTCCTCAAATTACCCTCCAACCTCTTGAACGGCGTCTATTTGCAGTAATGACGGTACTTGGAACTTAATTGACGTAAATTTATAATCTCTTTTTACCAATGTTTTCTTACCTTCAAATGATCGTGCGTTCGCCAAATATCCTTGTATAAAAACGCAAAAAAATTCAAAATTCGAAATCCAAGAAACCGGTAATTCCGGAGACTGCGATCAAATTTGTTCCGCAACATTAAAGTCTAGGCGATTCTCACGTTCCTTGCGCCGCTTCTGAAGCGTTTTTTGGGGGGTTGTAGTTGGGGGAGCCGAGCGTTCTTCAGCCATTTCCGGACCTTCGGACAACTCACTTAATTCCTTTGCAATTAAAAACCAATTCTTCCCCCATCTCCGTGTCGCGCACTCTCGATGACCTTCACTTGTCCCTTGACATAACGTTGGAGGCGCAAAAAGTGAGAAGACGGAACAAAGGGTGGGAAGAGGCGACCAATGCGGTTATCGCGACGGAGGTGAAAGCTGGAAGGAAGCGACCGAGTTGTCACAATTGCGGTTTCAAGGAAGTTTTGAGGGCTGGGAGGGTTAGAAAGTACTGGGAGACTGGAGGGAGATATTAGGAAGCTTAGGGCAATAGCAGAAGCTTGGAGATTACTTTAGGTAGCCTTCGGTTTACTGTAGAATTCTATTCTAAACGGATTGGATATATATTTGAGAGCTTTCTTATGGCTACTCGCTGTCCATTGCCCATTGGCAAATCAGTTTTGCCTGTCCTAAAAAGTATTATATTTCTTGAGTCATCAAAAATTTCATTTTCATGCCTATTTTTGAATCCTTGCTCTTCAATGTTTCCGTATTCGTAGCAGAGCCTCTCCATAGCAGGCTGACCCCCAAACAGCTCCCGAAACAGTTATACTTATAGTTTGCCCCACTGTATATACTCCCCACTTTCCACGGCTCGTTTACGTACAGATACATTGCAGCTGATCCCTCGCTCTTTTTTCACAAATCCTGTGAACAATATGTAGATCACATAGATCTCTTCTACTCTCACATTGAGAGCCGAACGGGAGATTAGCGAGAGTGCAGTGGCTCGCCAGCGTTCATAAAAAAAAGAATTTACGGCGGTTACTTCCGAAAGCGACGTATCGATCCGATTTTTTGTTGTGCCGATGTCATCCTGGCTAGCTGGGAATTGCAGGCATGCAGATAGGCGCTGAGGGCTTGTGTATCTGCTAATTGGCTAATTTCAGCTCATAAGATTGGATTTTTTTCGGGTAAATCATCAAGTCTTGTCTAGTGTAACATCACTCATGTTGATGATGTCAGAAGAGCAAATTTCTGATAGGATTGCCATCAAATTTTTTTCTGAAGGCTCTTTGAACCCCCTTCTTCACCTGTAACCCCATCCATCCCTCGAAACTTTTGTTTCGCTTCCATTAGCGGCGCTCTAATAAGCCGGCTCCTCATGTGTAATATCCAGCGCGTTGTTGGTGGTCACAGCGCGCCGAAACCTCATCGCCGCGATCCATAATTTTCGACTGGACTTTTCTCCCTCCATATGCCCTCTGGCGGTTCGAGTGAAGGTCATTGCGAAATGCGGGGGATTCGAACGTCGCGTGCCCTCAGGGCTTTCACGTTGGTCGGGGTTGTGATCATGTGATAGTGGTTGGGTAATCTGATCGAGGATTAAAGGCGGAGGTTTCAGGGATCTTCTGGAGAAGTCTATCTTGGGGGAGTTTTAGCTTTGATCATATTATACTAGACATCTGCTGACATCAAGTATAATATGTGATGTTCTTGTAGATAAATTAATTTTGCTCTTTTGCCCTCGCTTTCAAACAGCACTTTCTTTCTTTCCAGCTCATTTAGCAACAAAATTCAGCATCAATATTTACAGAGTCATTAGATCCCCTCTTTCTTTTTCCAGTCCATAAACTTGTCGCTTGTGTAATCTCTAATACGATTGTACGATTTTTTGATTATACACAACTGGTTTTGAGGCTGTTTTCTAATGCCTCTCTGATGATGGTCAGTTGAGGGAGGGCTGTGACTACGAAACGAACCTGTTGATTATATTATTTCACTCCATTTTGAGGATGATTTTGGATATTTTAGTCTTAAAAAAAGATGTGCGATACATATTTTCTATAGTTGCGTAAGGCTTCAAAAACAATTTTATAAAGCTTCAGTTGTCCCTACAATGCAACTCCCAGTTCAATCTTCTTTTTTGTACGGTGTCTTCATATAAAATTTGATATTGCACTAGACCACCTCGCATGTCAGATCTCCAATTTTAAATCCTCCGCTATCCTATGCAAATTTCAATTTCTCAGAAGCCCTGTCCCTGTAAACGTTGCTACCTTCACCCCGCTTCCCTTACCTCATCTAATTACCCGGATTGAATTCATTTCCCTCAGATCTGACCTGTTTTCGTTTTTGTTCGAATAATCGAATAAATAATTTTCCATTAGAATCCTTTCCCTTTCCGGTTTCCAGAATCCCCCACCACCAATTTCTTCTGGGGATTTGAATTCGAGGGATTTCAGAGGATCAAATAAAAAACGAAGTTTCCGATCTGAGGTTGTAGATCCGGCGATTAAGAAAGTAAAAAACGGAGGGGTTTCTTGTGCGGATCAGTGGGAAACTTCGGAAGTTCCGGTGGGGTGGAGTGAAAGTTCAAAGGAGGTTTGGGTTGTAAGCGGAAGGGATTAGTTTTGTAAACGTCTGGAATGGGTAATAGTCATCGGAAAGGGGTTTGAGGTGGGTTACAAACTGTTGGGAAATGTAGATAAGTAATAGAAAAAAATGAATCGGAGATCTTTTGTATGCACCATGATTTTTAGTAGACAAAGGTTGGCGAAAATTCGAATTTTGGCACGAAAAGTTTCACAATTATTTGTACCCTAAAGGGTAATGTTTCCACAAAAAATCAATTTTTTCCGCACGAAACTAGCAAAGTTATGATCGAAAACTGTTTTTCTCGCTCTCCACGTTTATCGTACTCTCTTGGCGGTATAATATCTCAGCGGCGCTTGCAAAGCGCAAGCTAAAACTTTCAGGAATTGAGATTTACTTCATGACGGACGTCTGTGCAAAATTTGAAGAAAATCTGAACGTCGCACTTGGGGTACTTCCTTTGTAAATTCAGAACTTTCTTGGTTTTCGGCGGCCTAAAAATCAGTCATCCAACATCCTAACCTCAGCTTCAGAAAATTTTTATTTGTGGCGCAATTTGCGGACTACCCTGGCAAACTTTTCTTGCCCTACCTGAAATTAAAATTTTGTGGTCAATAACCAAGACGTGAGACGTGTGATTTGCGACCTTCCCCAATTGTAGGATTGATCCCAAACAACTTATATTCAGGCGGTTTCTAAAAACAGCATTTTGAAAGCACTTTTTTTCTCTTCTTCAACCATTTGAAACTATCATCGCCTTCAAAAAGTCGTTTACCGAACCCCAAATTCCTTGTAACTCCAAGACAAACAAGCGTCGTCATCGCCATTCTTCTCCACCCTCACCTTTCCCCCCATTTCCCAAATTTGTCAAACCCCATAAATCGCTATATGTAATGGTTACCTTGACATGTGCTAATGGCTAATTCTGAGGAGGATTCAAACAAAGATTCAGGATCTCCTTCGTCTTTTTTCCCCTTCAGATTCCTCTCGACGATTCTGAAGGGCGCTCCGCGAGGAATCTGAAGGCTAGACACGTTCGGCGTTCCTCTGTTTGTTGATGCCGAAGACGGAAGAAAAGTGCTTGTGGAGCTGCTGAAGGAAGTTCAATGAGTTGAATTTGGGTTCAGCTTGGATGATGGGATTGTTTTAGATGGAGTTTTGGGGACCTCATGAATAACGTAACTTCAATTTTTTGTGAAAATGTAATCTTCTTATGTCTTCTAATACTATGTAGGTTTGAGTATTCTATGTTGTGATGGTAGCTTCAGAAAATTGCAAAATTAGGGTCTAGTTTGAACTAAAATTGATGACAAATGGTCGACTGCATACCATAAAATAATTGTAAAATTTTAATCTATTCTAAACTTTAAAAATTGATTTTGGCGTCAAAAAAACCTTATAGGACATCATCACTAGGCCTTGGATAACACCTTGTCTTGATTTTCATAGATTTTAGACATCAAAATTACACCTCATTGGCCATCACCTATCTGATGACAAGTATAAGTTTATTTCCCTATTTTTCTCTCTCTCTCTAGTCATCTTCAAGCATTCGTATTTTTATAACAAACCCCACGTAGACCCCTCGCTCATCACTCATCTCACTGATTATCATCCAGTTATTGCGTAAGTTGTTATTGTCCATCCCCAAACTCTGATCCCCGTTGTTAACGTGATTCCCCATCCCAAACATTTTACTTTTTTTTGGAAAATGAAAGTAATCGTCATCCCCTTCAGCGCCTTTTTTGCCCACCCCCAGGTATTTTTCGTCCGAATCCCCGTTTACTTTTTATTGAATTGACGGTGATTTCACGCTGATCAAAAAGTTAAAAAGTGTTCCTGGTAATCTCTGGAAGGGAAGGATTTATTTATAAGCTTAGAATATGAGCTTAGCATGCTTTGAAACTTTAGACTCGTATCGTCATCACTGCACTCGTTTTTTAAAATTTTTTGTGTAAGTGGTTTAAGTGTAATATTCTGATGGTACGCAAGTTTCTAGGCAATTTTGATAGGCTCTAACTGCTATCAGATCCCCTATGAATGCCCTGCCTTTACAATATTTGAATATCTACATTTTAAAATACGTTTTTCATCAATTTTATATGATACTACCTATCAACTTCGACCTTTTTTCATTTTACCCACGCGTTTGTATAATCCTTAATTTCGTTCGCAATGATCAGTTAAAATATAAACCACAATTTTTCAGCTTACAATTTGCCTTTCCTCGCTCAACGTATCTCAGCTCAAGTCGTCAGAAAAAAGATGTGCAATCTCCAGAGCTCGGTCCCAATCGCCAAATCTCGCAGTATCCCTGCCAAAGCCCCACTGCCAGTGGACGGAATCCCCGGGAACACCATCTCCAATGTTAAGAGTGATGATGGTATGTCTACATGTTGTATAAGTTGTATATTCAAAGAATTATGAGTTTTAGAGCAAAATTTTAATATTTATACGAGGGATTTCAGATTTTTTAATGCAAAATGAATGATTTTTTAGGAAAGACGGTAGCTACTGCCGCATTAATGCGTGTGTCCCATAATATGGCCTACTTCTCGTTGATCCACGTGGATTCTGTGATCGCTCAGAAGGCCGTCACGGTGTCCACCCCTGAGGATGACCCACTAAACTTGAAATTGGGCGAAATCTACGTAAGAAACTTGAATTTTGAATCTTTTAGCGACTTTAGAAAACAGTAACACTTGTAATAGTTATACCAATGGTAGTGAAATTAATTCTGCAAATCTTTTTCAGGACAATCTCCCCTTCCGTCATCACTATCCCATCTACATCCAAGTGCATCACAACAATCCCGAGAGACTGGTCCTCGAACATCTCTTGGACAACTTGGCCGAGACCGTGTTGGGCCGCAACAACCTGGAGCTCAAGAAGAACGTCACCATCGACCTGCTCGACTCGGATGGCGATGCCCATTTCCGGGATCGTCTCGGCTTCTTCGTCACCGATCGTCAGCAATTCGTACAACTGACTGTGGCCGCGGCCGAGGCCGGCAAAGTGCTGAAGAAGAGCTCAGGTGAGGAGGGAAATGGGGATAAGATGATGACATGGGCATGGCAAGGGGAGATCAGATTTTATTTTGTGGAAAAAATTGGGAAAAATCGGAAAAATGATGATTTTGGACATGGGGAGCAATTTTTATTCAAAAAGAGATTGCTGAATGCGCGATAGACAGATTTTGCTCAAATTTTGCCCATTGGCCGTGTTACCCAGACCTATGATTATATGAAAATTTTAGTTCCCATATCCTCAGGGTGCCAGAGATACGATGTAGATTCCAAAACCCGATTTTTGGCCAAATCCGACCGAAAAATGTCGGTGATTTCTGCAAAACGCAGATTAAAAATTCGCCCAATCTTTTTCTAAATATTATTCAACCTTTTTGTTAACGTTTTCGACTTCCTACAATGCTATTTTTAGACTTTTCAACGCAAAATAAGGGTATGAATGACTAATACCCTTATTTTGATCGGACTTTGCCCTCAAATCCCCGCTCCCCTTGCGCAACATGCACTTTACTCCCAATCCGAGTGGTATTACTAAAATGACCACAATCCCCACTGCCTTTCGAACCGGTTTTATTACTTTTTTGGGGACGGAAATCACAACGGACATTACTTTTTAGGGGAATTGCGTCAATCAACGATAATTTTATGTTTTCTTGGGCGTTTTACCAAAATCACTCGCGCAGGGAGTGTAAAAATATTTGGAAAATCGAACACTTTGTGAACTCTGATTAGGGTAACAGGAAATTGTTCGAAAAAATAAGATTTTGTAGGGGAAAGAACGTAAAATTTTAAAAGTTTAAGGGTAAATAAGGTAAATCAATGTGTCCAAAATAATAATAATTTATCATTCTCCACAAAAATTACAAAAAGCATGAAGAAGTCATCAAAAATTATATTACACTTGACATTTCTTCCTTTTTTTCCCTAAAATCATAATTTTTCAGATTACAAGGTCGAAAAGTTCCGCGCAACCGAATTCCAAGACCTCGTGGACTTTGATAACACCCTCTCAACCCAAACCCGCGACGAATTCCTCGAGGCTTTGACCAAAAAAGTCCAAGTTTTTGTGGTGAAGCCGGCCAAACAAGTTGTGATTGACGAGGACGAAAAGAAACCCCTCGCCTTGGCTGGATACGCCTTTGTTCATGGCGACAGGATCCTCAGTTTGTATGCTGACAACGATGAGATCGCTCAGACCTTGTTATCGGGAATTGTAGAGGCCACAAAGGCCAAACAAGTGAGTTTTCCGAATTTTTTGGAGAAAAATGACGAAAAATACAGACGATTTAACAATCCGTTTTAAAAATCTAAAGTAAAAAAATTTCACTTCTCTCGGCAAAATTTTCAAAATGGCAGATGAAAATACAAAAATTTTTTTCAATAATAGCAAGGTTCCCCATACGCGCCCCTTCCCACACCCCATTTTAGAGTCTGGTCTCTTTCGCTCCGCTTTTACAGCCGTGCAGGGATGGCCGAGTGGTTAAGGCGGTGGACTTAAGTTCCCCTGGGCGTCAGCCCGCGTGGGTTCGAACCCCACTCCCTGCAACTCACTTTTTCAAAGTTTTGAAAGAATTTTTGAGTAAAAAAGTCATTGTAAATACAACAATATCATACAGTAAGATTCTCTTTTATCTCAAAAATTTCTTTGACATTGTTTTAAGAACTTTTTTTTAGCCAAAAAATCAAAATTTTTGAGAAAAAAACAGCAATTTTGGCCTAAAATAAGATAACTTGTTTCAGTTCACGCTGGCCACTTCAACTTCCCACTGGAGACAGCTGGCCGCTCTCCCCAACACCCAATCTCGCCCCATCTACCGTCGTCACACTCGCGCAGTGCCCGCCAACGTGAAATGGGACCGGATTTTCGCGTTTAACGTCGGAATCAACCTTTTCTAAACGCCGTACCTCCACCTAATGAATCTTAATCAAAGCTCCAGACTTTTATTCCAGGAACAAATTCGAAAACAATGTCCGTCTCTCCTCTCGTATCAGCTATTTGTACATTTCCGTCTTAAAACTTCCCAAATTGTCATAAAGCGTCTCACGTGTCCGAAAAAAATTGTAACGACTTTCTTGTCCGTTTAATAAAGTTGTTGTAATTCGTGGACAAGACAATATTACAGCTTGTTGAATATTTTAGGCACTAAATTGCCGATTTATCGGACAAAAAATATATTGTAGTAGGCAAAAAGAATAAAAAATCGTCAAAAATATCAATAATAATACTGAAATTGATATTATTCATAAGAAAACAGAATAATTAAACAAACTTGTATTGAGATGCAAAGATCAGAGAGAATAAATAGCCAGAAACACCCATTATTTTCACCATGAACATCTAATTTTAGGCCACATGTTTGCTGGGAGGAGAGACCAAAATGACACTGTCGCCTCGAACAAATAACATCGGAATCTGTCGCTTCGTGGTTTTGTAGATCTCCTCGTAACTTTCTTCATCCGTCTCTGTTGTCGTTACAGTTTCTTCCACATCAGCCAAAATCATATTCAAATGTTGATCGAAAGCGTGCAACCGACCGGTCAGTTCTCGTTCGGATCGCATTTTCACAACAACTCGTTCATTTAACGAGAGACGAATGAGGTCCAAAGGCTCTTCAACCGTGACTCCAACCTGAAAATCGGATATTGTACTTGCCAATAGATCTAAAATCCAAAAAAATCAAAATAAAACAAAATCCCCACCTGTTCAGAAGTAACAAACTGAGACATCGAAGAGTCTGGATGGTATGTAAATCGTCTAAAGAATGAAATTCATATTAATCATGAATAATATAACAGATACTTCAAAGTTGTCAACAACAACTGTCAACGAAAAATAACTGAAGTCTTAGACTTATAATTACATTTATTCACACAATAAGACTGATAAGTGATGCATGCATGCAGATTATGACCGATATAACATTCATTTATTCTTCGACTTGATGCGTGATCCGATCGAGCGAAACTAGGTACCGTTCGCCGTCTTTTAACCCAATTGGACCTACTTCGCACTCCGAACAACACAAATATTGAATTCCTTCATGAGACCGGGTCACTCCAACATTCTCAAAGTGAAAAACGTCCTGAAATCACACTTGATGTCTAGTATAAATAAAAAACATGGTGGATCTCAAGAACCAAGACAAACGAACCTGAACAGACCACCATTGACTCAGAGGTTCCTTCTCCGTCTTTGGATTTGCCTTTTTCTGAGATTCCAGTGGAACGTCGACCGTATATTCACCAATAAACGTGCCCACATTCTTATCCAAAACAACACATTCACAGGTCCGGCACTTGATCCGCACACTATTCTTGCCATCGTCATTGCGTATCTGAAGAAATAAGCAACGTTATTCTAAAATTTGAGCACTAAAAATCAAAAAACAAACGAGAAATAAACGAATTACCTTCTCCATCGTATTTGTTGAACTCGCCGGATTGGATTCGTTTGATGAACTCATTCTTCTTATGCAACCGTTGTCTCAATGCTCCAATCTCTTCTATCTGACTTTCCAGGTCTTGATCGATGTCTGGGAGGTTCTCAACAGCGTTTCTGAGATTAATAAGAGAGGTGTAGATCTGAGTGACCTTGGCCTGATTGGTCGATTGAGCTCCTGATCGTTGAATCAACCTATAACAAGACAGTTCAGCTTGTAAAAAGTCAGAATTTCTATTATGCATTCATTCCACCTAAATTTGCAAGAATAACCATGCCTAACAAAAGAAAAATCAGTCTTCTCATATTATCCATGGACTTACTGAGAAAGAAGTCCACTATAATTTTGCTCGAGGGTATCGAGGATTTCGCGGCACTTCTGAACACTGCTCTGATTGGATTCGTTGGCTGCCATCAACGAAAAATGCCAAAATCTTCAATTTCGCCAAGGAAAATGCGAAGTAACAGAATGCCAAGAAAATTCTGGCATTGGTTGTTTTCGTGGTGGAGACATTGGAAAAAATTCAATAGGTCAGTTTTTTTGAAACGATTAGTACCTCATACAAACTATGATGTCTAATGAGTGCAGTTTTCAACAATATTTACAAGTTTTTTAAATAAATAGTTTATTTACAGGATGTTTTAGGATTAGACAGCCATAACTTGTTTTTTGGGTTCCTCAACGGTTTCATCGGTTGATTTTTTTCGCTCAACTGCTTCCATCAAGTTGTCGAGGGTCTTATGGACAATCTCTGAGTCCTAGAACAAGCATTTTGAATGTTTTAGGTTCCAAAATTACTTACATTTATAAAATGCCCGCAATTTATGAGTTCCAGACTTTTCTCCTCGGATTCCAACTTTTTTAGCAACTCAATACTACCCTTGTACGACACCAAGGGATCACGGACACCATGAACAATCCGGACTGGCTGTTGGACCGGGATTGTGACGTGCTTTCGGCACACACAGTTCTAAAATAAATTTTTTAAGATAAAAAATTGAGAATTTATAACAGATACTCGTATTTTACAATATATTTACCTCAACAAAGTCTTCCAAATTCCCGAGACTGACTCTGATTTTCAGCTCCTTGTCAGCGGCGGGATGAAACGCTTCTTTTCCGTCGCGCAACCGCTGAATTGTCCCAGGTCTAACCTTATCCATGTAGTCCAAAGTAACTAAAACGGCGGGAGCAAAAGCCGCCAATCCAACAATTGAACTTTCCGGGACATCAAATGAGGCCCTGAGGGCTGCTTGAGTGCCCGCAGAGTTGGTTACCAGCAATGCTGGGGAGCTGGGATGAAGGCGTTGGCGGATGTCACGACGCCAATCATTTATATGCCAGGGATGGGCAGGATTCCCGTAGTTGGCATAGTAGATGCTAAAAAAACGTTTTTATGACATGTATACAAAGTTATAAGCAATTGTTTTTTTGAAATTTTCAAGAGTCTGAAGTTTTTACTAAAATGATGAATGCACAGTGCAAAAATTAGAAAATCTTAATTTTTCGAAGAAAAAATCGGTGGAAAGTTTACCGTAGCTGAGTCAAAGATTACTATGTCAATCAAAAAAATGTCTAAGGGCAATAAAATTGATAATTGAGCTTCAATTTTTACATAAGATCAATATAAATTATCATTGCACAGTGCAGTCCAAAAAATCAAAAAAAAATGCGATTTTCAAATGAAAAAATTTTTTTGGAGTGTCAAAAACAGTATCCAATAAAAGATTTTATGTTATAAATAATTCGTATATAACGTTACATTTTTCTATAAAATTTCAAAAATAAAAAAATACAAAACGATTTCCTCAACCTACTTTTCGAACACAAATCCATTCCGTTTGGCCCAATTCCCCACATTTACAGCCAGCGGGTTATTTCTCACCGCTCCAACACCATGACAAAAGAGAACTCGGAACCCGGTCATTTCTCGAATTCTGCCGTCGATCAGCTGAAGTTCAACGCGAATTGGGCGCCTCCGACTCTACGAATGGATATTTGAAGGGAGAAAAAGAGGGGTTCACATCTCCAGGAACCCATGAAAATCGAAGGATCCAGTTCGGCGACTGTGTTTTGTGTCATCCAGAGGATGAGAAATGGCGTGATTTTGCAAAAAAATCTTTAATGAAAAAAGTTGCAGCAAGTATAGAAACAATTTTTTGATCTCACTATGACCTCATATATGTCATGTATATCTCGTTTATTTCCGAAAAAACCCTTATAACAGCGTTAGCAACAAAAATTGTAAGATTCTTTTGATCTCTGAGATGCTTTTGTAAATAATCTCCGCACCTTTTGAATAGGAAACAATCAAGATTCAGGACCGTATGTACAGAAGCTAAATGTCCTTGGGGTTGATGTAGAGGTAATACGTCCAGTACACAATGTTGAACATGATGAACGAGAAGGGGAACCAGAAACGGCAGTGGAGATCGATCGTCTGGGCAACTTTGCGGTTCAACTCCATTCGTTGTTGTCTGAAATGAATGTTGTAGCTGTTTTTTATGGAATTAGGATGGTTACTTTCGATTTTTAACGGAATTTTGGGTATGTTTTTGAGGTAAATTTACAGGGTAAGTACGCTCAGATTTTGATGAAACTTGGCATAAATTTAAGTTAATTTTTTATAAGGTATACGCGAGAATTACAGCTCGCGCTTTGCAAAAATGATCGGGATTTTTAGATCAAAAAGTCAGCCAAAATTTGATACTTTTTGTCGAATTTCGTCATAAAAAATTTTATGCTGACTTCCACTGTAGAAAGTAATATTTCCACAAAAAATAATTTTTTTCTATGCGAAACTAGCAAAGATACAACTAAAAAAAGTTTTTTCTCTGACCGCTCTCCGCATTTCGCGTGCTCTCTCGAATATCATTGAATATCTCGGCTGCCCCTGCAAAGCGTGAGCTAAAACCTTCACAAATTGATATGCGAGAGAGTACGGAAAAGAGGAGAGACGCCAGAAGTTTTTTTTTTCAATTTCCATCTATACAGGGTGACCCAAAATAACGGAGACAAATTTTTGAAGGTCCCACCACGAAAACCGGGCGTTAGAGAAACATAAGCGACAGCGGGAAATATTCTATAACACCTTCTCTATAATCCACGAAAGTTTGGGGGAATCATCATGTCGCAGTAAAAAGTTGCAGCTTAACAAATATGCCTTGCGCCGTTTTTTTGGCCTTCAAGTTTGGTTCCCTTGTGTTGTGTAAAGCCTGGCATTACTACAGCCGCAGAAATGGCAAGATCTTTTGTTTTGTTAGACTACTATGTCCCTAAGAAAGCAGTTGCGTAGGGTTTTGGGCTACGGTTTTTATTTCTACGGTGGTACCGATCTCAACATTGAAGATCGCCATTTTTCCCAAATTTTTTCCATAAAAAATTCAGTTTTTTTCGAATTAAGCTAAAACCGCTAGTACGTGTTCTATTCATAAATACAATGATTCTGAAAAAATCTGTGATTGCTTGCTGGTTGCAACAGCTTTTCCTTAACAAGTTTATTGCCCAGAACTTCCTCGTGGCACGCGGCTTTGAGAAAGATGGGTTATCGATAACAGAATGACATGATAGATAAAAATGGCGCATTATGCTCCTGTACACTTATGAATACGACTCTTGAGCATCAGCCTAGGGCACTTTCGGTCTTTATGTGTCACCGACTCGACCGGTATTCCGCCTAAGGCAAAAATAAGGCAGAATTCTAGTGATTACCAAATAGCATTCCGTATCAGTTACAAAATCTTTCTCTTTTGCTTTTGTGGTGTTCCTTTAATCATGTTCTAGTAACTCATATTACATTTTGCCTTATCTAACATTTAAACTCCTTGTTGCGCTTACATTTTCAAAAAAGGCCGATTTTTGCACTTCAAGTGCCTGAAAATACTCGGCTGTAACTTTTGAACCATCGATAGTTAAGCTTAGTATGATAGCTCATTTTAAAGGTCTTATTATGATAATTAATAACTGTAAATCTCAAACTATCCCGAGTTTTCTTTTTTGAGTAAGGCAGCTTTCTTGTAAAAAGACCCCACGGGCAGAAGGGTCCGAGTCAACCGGATATATTCATGTCGTTCAAGACAGAAGAGCGTCGTACAACAAAACTACCGGTAAATAAAACTACCCTAACGTGGTACTGTAATATAAATAAGGAGTCACTCATGAATCTTAATAAGTCGCAGAAAAAACGGGAAATCTTTTGTCTCCGTTATTTTGGGTCACCCTGTAGTTTGAACCCTAATTCCAACTTACAATTAGCCCACTTACCTTTGCGCTTTCTTGTAATTGATCTTGACCGCATCCTTGCCGAAGCCGGGCGTCGGGAAGGGCAACGGGAAGCCACTAATCGGGTCGTTGCTCCTGCGGAACATGCTCGACTTCTCATTGTTGTTGGCCTCGTTCGGGGATTCGTCGCCCATTCGTGTGAAGAAATTGGCGCCGACGCCGTTCCCGTTGCGTTCGGATTGAGGCAGTAGGCTCATGTGCATGTCCTGCTTTATCCGCATCTTCTGGTGCTGAAAATATTTTGTGATAAGTTTGGCTGAAATTTAGCTTACAATCTCAGAGGAATTTTGAGTTTTTATCGCCAAAAAATTCAAAAAAATAAAAAAAAAAATAAAATAAAATAAAATTTATTTTTATTCGAAATTTTGTTGAACTCTTTGGAAGCCATTTTAAAAATCAAAAAAAGCAAAAAAAAATTTTTTGGTAATTTTTCTAATTTTTCAGCCATGAAAAAATAATATTGTAAAATACGACATGTTTACTTAGCTAGTTAATTTTTTTGCTTACATATTCCTCGGCCATTCGCTTCGCCTGTGCGGAGAGGCAATCCTTGACCGGCATTTTCTCATGGATCTTCCTTCTGGTGCAGTAATTTACAATTGTAAATTCGATGAGTGCCAGAAACACAAAGGCCATACAAGCGCCGCCAAACACGTCGGAGGCTTTGACATAGCTGGCCTGAAATTTTTAGAGTTTTTTTAAATATTCTTTTCTAAAAGTATTTTTTTATCTCTCAAATATTTTTCCGACAATTACTTCCATTTTTTCTCCATACCCTGAGGCAACCAAGTTCAATATTCACAAGTGCTAATATTTTTTTCTCGACGATTAAAAGTTTTTTCGCGACAAAAAAAGTTTCACACAGTGCTTTAAAGAAACATGGCCTCAGGGCAAATCGGAAATAAATTCGGACCGAACATCTCGAAGGTTCTACGAAAAAAAGTGAAATTGAATATCGGATAATAATGTTATTGACTTACTTGTGGGAGAGACATCCGCTCCGCCGAACTCTGCGTGGATAAGGTCAGGAGTCTAAAAGAGAATCGTTTTTGGAGGAAATCGGAGAGGATCACAGTTTTGAGGAGGTTTTTGAATATTTATGGAAAGTAAAAATATCTGGGAAACATATCTGGGTCAAGTAATAAGGGTCCCTAATCTATAGCTGCTATTTGTGATCCCAAGCCCTATGCAACGACAACAGAAACAATCGACAATACAACTAACTATGCCCTAGGCAACAACTTCATAAACGAACTCACAATAGCATCGACCAAACAATAGACAGTAGAAATATGACAGTTTATTGAATACAATACAACCGGGAAAGAACAGACACAAAATAAAATACAATAATAATTGGCGATTTCTCTTCCTTTTATACCAATTTGTCGGTCATTCCGTGGGAATATGCAAATTCGCACGCGAAGTCGTGACAAAGGTTCAATGGTGAAAACTTTGTCAAAAAGAATTACAAAAATATTTTTTTTTGTTTTCAGGGTAAAAGGGCCCTACTTCAAACGGCCGTAGCAACCTCAGTTTTCACTTTAAAATCTTGTTATTTCATAGACAAAAATTAATGTCGCCTAAAAATACATGTTCCAAAAACGAAGTCTCTACGCCGCCTCCGCCGGAAGTTATAGCCTCCGATTTTCCTTCAGGCTGCTTGAAAATGCACTAAAACCAATCATCGTATTTTACCGTCCTATTCCAATCTCTTTTAGGTCTACTCTCAAGAAATATTTTTTCCCAAAAAACTTCTCTCAAACTGGCTTACGTAGTAATGGACAAAGAGACCCGTCCTGGCACGGCTTCCACATCCAGCCAGAACGAAATCCAAGAAATGACGACGATCAAACTTTGCGGGACATAAGTCTGGATGATATGATGCATCAGGAGCCGGTCTACGATGAACTCTGCCGTCGCGCAGCTCCAGTTTCCCATGGCGTAACTGTCGTTGCGGACGGCCGGAATGATCGTCCGCAACTTCATGTCCGGCATTCGAATCTCTGGATTCGTCATCACTCCGTAGCTGCTCCATTCGATGATCAGAGATTCGGTGTCGTAGGGGTCTAAAAAGCTATATGTTTGGGGTCTGCATATATTTTATTATGATTTGTCACCTAAAGGATGACAAAAGAAATCGGAATTAAAATGGGAATTTTTTTGAAGTGTGACGCTCAAAATTTTTTTAAAATTTTTGCATAGACTAAAAATCAATGCCTGAAAATTTTAGCTTTCATTTTCCAGGGAAACCCAAGAATTTGAACGATTTTTGCTGCCGAGAGAGTAGGCGAAAAGTGGAGTGCGGTTAGAGAGGAAACACTTTTTGGCCGTATCTTTGCTAGCTTCGCATAGAAAAAATTGATTTTTTGTGAAAACATTATCCTATACGATAGAAATAAGTACGAAACTTTTCACGCAAAAATTCTCCAAAAAATTTCAACTTTGTGTCGATTTTCGGCCAAGAAATCTATGGTCGTTTCTGCAAGGCGCGAGCTAGGAGTCTCGCATATATCTTATGAAAAAATGATCTAAATTTGTGCCAAGTTTTATCAAAATCTGAGCTTGGAGTACTTCCACTTACACGACAATATCCGCAGCGCACATCCCTGACTGTCCAAGGGATATCGGGCAAGATGGAGCATACAAATAACCGTCATTGATATTCTAAAAACCTTTTTATATCATAACAGCGAGAATATTTATGCTTTAAATCTCAAATGGAGCTCACCGAGCATCATAAAATACGGTGCCATTAGAATAAATCCAAACCAAAAAATTAGGAGAGGTGACATCATGAAATGAGGCTGTTCGAGCATTCGCAAAGTATAAATCTAAAAAAAAGATTACATTGACATGCATGAAAGTGCAATAAATACAACTGAGGATTAAGGAAACTGACCGGGATGCCATATTAATCCGTACAAGTTCTGGTCCTTGACCAGGATCCGATTACTGCCATTGTGAGCCAACCGATGGTCTATCCAGCGCAATTGCAAATAAACGTCGATATGAAAGTCCTGGAATTTGAAAAATTTTAAAGTTTCGGAAAGGTAAATAAATGTAAAATACGATACATTGTCCAGCTTTTTCAGCAATTTTTGGAACTGCCTAGAACAAGGTATAATTCCTAGCCGCCCTTGACTTTTTAGCTCTGTAAATCCACAGAGAGCAGCTAATAAATGTTTTTTGAAGAAATAGAGTCTTTATGACACCATAGCCATATGTATTTTACCATGTATTCGATCCAAACTTACCATAGTTTGAGCGCGGAATGAGGACATTCCTTCAATGTACATTTGAATTGTGACCCGTGTTGGTTTGCCTGCAAATAAATCGTTTACAAACATGCATTGTTCATTTTTATGACAACATTTTTTCGTATTGCACATTTTTTAAAGCTCCAAATTTTTGTTCTTTGCGTGTTTCTGCAGTCTCAAGTCGCCTAAAATAAATTCTTTTAGGCATTTTTTGAAATTTAATTGTTGGAATTGGAAACTGGAGATGATTTCTAATGCAAAGACAGCTCCGAATTCAGTCATTTTGATGACTTATGCTCCTCTCCATGACGTGGAAATAATTTTTTTTTTATTCTACTCCGGAAATTGGCCTTGAGGGTGTGAAATAGAAGATCTCTGAGTCAATTATGCATTTTTTAAACGTTCCCAAAAACGAATCGGATGACTTTTTGGTCTGAGGAAAATAGGGAAGTGTTGTTTGTTTATTCAAAATATGTCATAAGTGCGAACAAAGTGTGAAAGGCCAAAAAAAGTGTTTTGAAATGGCTAATCCAAATTTGAAAAAAGAGAAATTGTAACGGGATTTTTTTGCGATTTCTACAAAAATCACATATTTTTTTTCAAAAACTTTAATTAAAAATTTTATTTAAATTTTTTTCCCAGATTTGATCAAAAAATAAAAAAAAAAAATCTAAACGATTTTTTTGACTATTCCTTCAAAATTTACTTTAAAAATCTATAAAAAAAACAATTTCCGATTTTTCCAAGTTACCGTAAAAATAAAAAATTTGCAAAAATATCAAAATTTAAGTCATTTCAAAAAAAAATTGATGGTTTCAAACACCAAGGATAATCCGAGGATCTCAGAAAAGTGTACTTTTATTTTTTCGAAATGTCAAAAAAATCCGACGCCCCAAAATTTAATTTTTTTTGTAATTATGAAAATTTGTTACGATTTCTAGGCCCAACTTTCTTTCCAACTCACCTTGCCCAGCAGTGGGGACGGCGTGATTATTGTAATACCGGTTTCTCCTCATAATCGTCGTCAGATCGACATGCCCTCCTCGTCCCGTATCTTCGGCCTCGGCCAACAGTAGCATCCGCATAAAAACCAGCAGTAAGGGAGTACAGTAATGTGGACTCAGCTTGACCATTTTTGGGTGCAAGGATTAGGACTTTACACTCGGCGTCAAGTGTTTTTAAAAAGTCCAAAAAATCAGAAAAAACTAAAGCTCGTTCATCGAAAAGAGCCTCAGGGGCTGGGGAAAAAGTGGTGGAGGAAGAGTCAGGAGTACTTTGATTCAATTTGGAGATGCTGGAAAAATGGGGCTAGAAAGAAAACACGACGGAACGGGGAATTTGCATATTCAAATGTATAAAAAATCGAATGGTGATGATAAAAAAGTAATTTAATTTCGAAAAATTCAATTCATAGTAAATCTGTTTTTGAATTTTACATGTACGAGAGTTCGACTTATAAAAAAGTCAGCTGTAATTTTATATCATGGAAGTTACAGAAAATACGTGTACTTGCACAGAAATAAAGATTTGGCCATTTTAATTCTAGAATAAACAATAAAAAGATGTTTCAGAAATAATATTTTAACTAATCAAACGTCGTATATTTAATATTAACACCGAAGAAAAAAAATCAAAAAATTTTTTTTTAAATAACTGAAAAATTGAAGTGTCTCGACAACGCCTGCAAAGCTTGAATTAAAATTTTCGGACCTTGAAACTGTATCTAGAAGGCGTGATTCAACGCCATTCAAATGATTGACGTGCATTTTAAGGTCCACCAAGAACGTAATCACTATTTATCCACAAATAAAACCCTTCCATTCTCCTTTTTTGGCTCTTTTTTTTGTGGGATTCCCCTCGAAAATACGATGGGAAAATATAAAGATTACTTTGCAAACCAACGAATTAATGGGCAGTGGATATTTCGGAGGGGTAAATAAAATATATTTAAAAACTAGTCTGGTCTATTCGAAAGTTCATAAAAGCCAATGGAAGACGGTAAACATCCGATTTGCCTATAAAATTGAGCGGAAATTACATGTTGAGGAAAACGGTTTACAAGGGAAGGCTTCCAAGTGCGATGCTCAGATTTTTTGTAAATTTTGCACATGCGTTTGGCATAGGCCATATATCAATTATTGAAAGTTTTGGCTTAAGATATTGAACAATCTTTGCGGCCGAGAGAGTACGCGAAATGCGGAGAGCGGTCATAGCGAAAAACGTTTTTTGGCCGTATACTTGCTAGTCCCGCACAGAAAACATTGATCTTTTGTGGAAACATTACCCTCTACGGTCGAAATAGGTGCGAAATTTTCCATGCCGAAATTACGCAAAAAGGCTCAAATTTTTGCCGAATTTCGATCTAAAAAACTCGGCTGTTTCTGCAAAACGCGAGATAGAATTCTTGCATATATCTTAAAAAAATTGTCTAAATTTGTGCCAAGTTTCATCAAAATCTGAGCGTCGCACTTGGAGTACTTCCCCTTGTTAATAAATAAACAAAATTATCGAGGGAGACGTGTAGAATCAACCAATTTGTTGGAAATGGAGATTAATAGGGCATGTGGGATGGAATGAAGTTTTCAAAAATTTATTTAAGCGGCCTGAATTTCAAGGTAAAATTTTAGGTGAAATGTAAAGAAGAAAATGCAAAATGCGAAATCTAATAATAATCTCTATACTAACAGGGGAAGTACTCCAAGTGCGACGCTCAGATTTTCTTTAAATTTTGCACACACGTCGGGTATGGACTAAATATCAATTCCTGAAAGTTCTAGCTCGCGCTTTGCGGGCGCCGCCGAGATATCGATCGATTGTTGCCGCCGAGAGAGCACGCTAGACGTGGAGAGCGGCCAGAGAGAAAAATGCTGTTTGGTCATAACTTTGGAAGTTTCGTTCGGAAAAATTTGATTTTTTGTAGAAACATTATTCTTTACGGTACAAATAGGCATGAAACTTTTCGTGCCGAAATTCGGTAAAAAGTCCTAAATTTTCGCCGACTTTCGATCTAAAAATCTCGGTTGTTTCTGTTAAGCGCAAGCTAGGATTCTCGCATAGATCTTAGAAAAAATTGTTCTAAATTTGTGCCAAGTTTCATCTAAATACATACATTTCAAGTCCACGCACCGTATCCTAAAAATAAGTCACATCCAGTTTATCCACCCTCAATTTCCCCCCATTTTCGTCCTTTTAGAAAGCCCAAACAAATTCAAATCGTTTCATAAATTGTCACCCCGAGGACAAAGGAGTTCAAAGGAGTCCAACCAGTGGGGGATGCCATCCCAAAAAAGTGTCAAACACAGAAAAAGAATTTGCTTGGAAACAGAATTGTTAGTCATAAATTGGAACGTTGGGGAAACATCTAGATTTATTTGACAATAGGGGGATAATGGGAGGGATGGGGGAGAAAAAAAGTTATGATTTGATACAAGTCATGGATTGATTTTTAAATGTCTTTAAAAATTATGATGCAAAAATCACAAAAATTACTCTAAAATACCGGACGATAAATCTAAAATTGTTTGACAAAAAATCATCGCTGTCTCCAAAAAAATTACTACCTGTATATCTCCAACGTATTTTACTCTAAAACCCATAAAAAAAATTTTTTCAAGATTCCAAAAAAATCGGTCATCATGACAATTTTAACCGGCCAAAAGCAAAGGCTACGGTTCCTATTATCATTGTAATTCTTTAGAAATGTAAATAAATACTTCAATTACAACGACCTATTCTACATAAAGCAGTTTTTCATTTTCTCAAGCTACCAACAAAAATCTTTTCAAAATGTAATTTTTACCCTTCGAAGGATGCATTTCCCAAAAATTCCCTATTAAAAATTTCGAGTCCCCCTTTCATTTGCACGGCACAATTTCCCGAGATAGTTCTATGTCAGAATTTGCAATTTTTTCTCTTACTCCTGTTCACAGGCCCCGCCCCCTTATTACACGTCTTAATCGTAAATGCCCTTAAGCGTTTGACACAAAATTTGAAAAAAAACGGTTCCCAGATAAAAGAGGATTAAAGAAGCACATTTGTTTTATGATTGGAAGAAACATACGTCCATAAAGTTAGCAAGTTGGAGGATACGAATTCGGGGGATAAATGTGGTTGGAACGGGGAAATTTGTGGGGATTTAATTGGATACGTTGGTAGTTAGGCGATAATAAAGTAGGAAAAAGTAATTTTGAATCATTCTGAGCCAATAAAAATTTACAATTGGAGAAAATTTCGATAGAGTCATGAAAAATGCCTAGCGTAAATTTTAGTGAACTTATATTATTATAAGATAAAAAAATCCTAATTTTCTCTTGTAAGCGCCATTTTAGGCTAAAGATCGTAAAAATAGCTTATTTGTAAACTGTAGTTGACTTGTCCTGAGCAAATATAATGCCGAAAAGACGATGACAAAGCCTGAAAACGACTTATAAAGATTCAGCGGACAAATTTATCCGACAAATATTTTCACAGACGTAAAAAACCGCTGACGAAGAATAGGATTATAATATAATACGCATAGAAAACTGCTGGGCTTCTTATTCCATCTTAAAGGCATCTAAAAAGGTGAGGATTCGTACCCCTCTACAAGAACTTTAGGAACTCAAAAACACTATGATTTAATAGATCTAAATTCAGTTGTTCAACAATAAAATCAGGGTGATTTCAAGGCGTCAACCAGCCATAAGAAAGTAAAGTGCCCAATAAAAGTTATTATAAGACTCTTGTGTATCCCCCGAGGCAAGTGATCTAATCTTCTTGCAAATAAAACAGGGCTCCTGACAATCTTAACTTGTGGCTTCTCCGCAAGATTTTGAGAGCAAAGTATGCAAGAATGAGGAAAAAAGAGGTGTTAAAATGCTATGGTGAACACCGTGGAAAAAGTTTAGCTTTTAAAAATCTACAATTCGTCTGCAAAAGATACCGTTCAAGGCGCACGCTAACATTTTAGCAAATTATACATGGCCTAGCGATAAATTTGAGTGGCTGGCCTCGAGCAATTTTCCATGCCATTTTTTTGGCCTTTAGTATACAAGGGAAAAGGGTTTTCTTAATTGTTTCCCCTAACCTTTGCATTGCAACAAGCCGAAGAACCCTCTATGATAATGCCCCTACCTTCAAACAAGCTACTACAACTCTTGTCAGAATCAAAATTCCTCAAAATTATAACGTTATCGTACCTTCTTACCTCCCCTAAAAATATCCAAAGATCGTAGTTCAAATTAAGTTCCTCTATCAAAACCGTAAGATAATTAGATTTACTTGCATATGATAACAAAGTTTGCGACACCTGTCGCTTTCTTTCCTTTGCGGAAAACGCTGAGAAAACTCCGAAATGACATGGCTGTATAAATAAATAAAGTTCGACTTTGTCCGCCGAAAATGGTGGGAATGGGAATGTAATTCTTGCGGTACTCAAACAGAAAACTCGATTACAAGTATCAAAATGCATAACACAGAGGCCAAGAACGTGGGGGAGACATAGTATGTTGCATAAACGTCATGACGGGTTCACAATTACAGTGGGAGTTTGCAAAGGCGGTATAAATTTTTTTGGGTGTGAAAAGGTATCGCTTTTTTCACATCTCAATTTGCAGCAGAGCTAGAAAAGTTCAGCATCGAAAAATGTAAATTCGCGCCGACCCAAACCCCGGTTAGTGTAACATAACAAATTTATACGTCAAAGAACACTTCCTTCTCGGATTTTGGGGCCAAAATCTCACAAGGAAAGTACTTTTATGGGGGCTCCTACTTTTTGACGGGACATATCTCAAAAAATCAGAAAAAATGTGCTGATCAAGGATATAGAAATCTTAGTTGCCCATTTTAGGTTTTTAGGGGTGAAAACTCAATCGGAAGTTGACTTAAAGTCCTATATAAACCCCTTTTCGCTTAATTTGTCAACAGTTTACAATTTTTATTTTGGCTTAAAATGATGTTTATTGAGTTTTTAAGACGTAATAAATCAGTCATGGCACAAAAATTTATTTTTCCGACCTTCAACTTCAAAAAAAGTTGATTAAGCCCAAAAGGGAAATCGAACCCGTGCGGCATCCCCCCTCTTGATTCCCAGACTACGGCACGAACCACTCAGCCACACCGCTCTCTTCCGAAGGAAGAGACCGACTGCGCTTTTTATCGTTTCGAATGCCTGCGCCTTTTGTAGGGAAATTAAGCAAGTTTTTGGGCATTTTCACCCCTAAAAACCTAAAATGGGCAGCTAAGATTTCTATATCCTTGATCAGCACATTTTTTCTGATTTTTTGAGATATGTCCCGTCAAAAAGTAGGAGCCCCCATAAAAGTACTTTCCTTGTCAGAAAGAAACTAGTTAGACCGCTGTAACTTCCAAACATTGTTAACAAAAAAAAATATTTCTGACATCCCCGTCTTCTAAATCCAGTGTTTCAAAAATTTTTGAACTTTGTTGGTCCAAAACGCCTTAGGCACTCCTACCGTAGAGTAAAAACATTGTTGAAACTTTCATTTCCGAGAAAAAAAAACAAATACTAGCTTTTATTTCGAAGGGAAAATAAATCATTTACAATTTTACTATAGCCAGTCGAGAGTAGATTATTTACGCCAAGTTTTAGGATTTTAAAATTTTATGAGTTGTTTTTTCTCATGCTGTTTTAGAATGAGCCTCCAAGGAGAGGAATTACAGACGGTTTTTACTGATTGGGAAAGCGATAAGGGTTTTGGGTTGAAAATGTGAAAAGCGTGGTAAATATTAGGTCAAAATCCTGGTAGATATTTAGTATTATAGAAGATGTTTTTTTGAGTTAATAAGTTTACGAACTTTTAAGCCTTTTCTGGTTAATTACCATGTTAAAGTATGTAGACTATCCCCTGCCAATCCCAATATTTCTATCAAAACCCCAAAATCCGAAAAAATTGCCCTGATAATCAACCTGAACTGCTGATTATAGTTTAGCCGGAAAAACAATAGACACTAAGGGAAGAGAAAAGGTTTTGTTTCAAGAAGAAATTATGACAAAAAGATATTTGACGTGACCGCGAAAAGAGATTTGGTAGATTGAGAAGCGTTTTAAGGGCCCAAAGAAAACTGCTGATGACACGTTTCATTTCCAAACCGCCTGAGGGCATATCTAAAAATAGAAAAGCGAAAAAATTTTGCTAGTTTTGGGATATAGTTGTGTAAAAAGTTGTGGAAATATACTTTACTTATATTTTTTTTAAATTCTTAAAAAATTTTAAAAATTTAATTTGCAGTTACATTAAACTACACCCAACGAACGCTCAATTCTCGTCAAAAAAGAGATCACCAGTACATAATTTATTTCAAAATCTCCCAGAGTTTATTTATTCCATAAATTCTCACACCTTGGACGAAACCGGAATGACTTTGGAGACGGCCGAAAAAGTTTTTTGGCCGCGACTTCCGGCGTTTAAAAAACAATTCAGAGAAGCGTATTCTGAGTGGACAATTAATTGGGCCACAGCTTGAGGTGTTCGAATTTATGGCCACAGGGGTGATCGGAAGAAGGTCGGGGGTTATATTGAACTAGACATAATAAACAATAAATCGGCGATAAAACAGGCTTTATAGGTGGTTCATGTAAAGGGCAAAGTTCAAGGATTGGGAAGCGATCTGGTTTTTAGTTACAGTGTTTTTGAAAGAAGTGCTTTATATAAAATAGATACATTTTAGCAAAAAATCTTTGAAAAATCTGGAGGAATAAAAAAATGCGTGTAAAAATCTTATACTCACAAAGGTATGGCCATATAGGTCCTACCGAAATCTCAGAATAATTTTACGGCTATTAGAACACTATCAAATGAAAAAATCATCATATCTCGACACAATGGCACTAAAGTGTCGTAAAATAAATTCTGCCGTATCCTCAAAACTTTGCGAAAACTTTTTCATAGGATGACTCAAGACTCCCCCACTGTAATAAGAAATTGCATACTCTGAATCCTTTCGCCACATCGCCATGGAAATGTCACAAATACGGTAATCGATATTCAGGATTTTATAGTTTGCTCTGGAATTTCTGTGTCAACGTTCAAAAACCAAAGATTCAGAGGGATTAATAAATTATCAACAAAAAAGTTGTGAACGTAGAATTGTAAGAGGTCATTAAGATTTGGCGAAAACGTGACAATTTTTTCATCAAATTGGTTTTTTCGGTAGTTGAAATTAAACAAGATTAGACACAAGAGCTTGCGGAAAAAATGTATCATCTAACCAGTTTAAAATCCCAAAAATAACATTTCCTTGCAACAGGCTGACAAGAAAAACTTCTAGAACAGCAACACACGACCTTCAGGCATCAAAAAAGCCCTCATACTCCTTCTCAACGTTTCAAAACATCCATTTTCGTATCAGCCGCCCTTTATTCATAAGTTTTCTTGGCCCCGCAACTTGGCCACCGTTAGCGGAAATTCGGCCTCGGATTTCGGTGAGGAGAAAAAACAAGAAAAGTAATGTAAATAGTTACATTCTTTGCAAAAAAAATTTGATTCTTATTGAGAAAAGGCGCTTCTGAAGCCAGATGTGTCTTCTGAATGTTACTTTTGCTTTTCATTTCCTTAGGCGGTAATTTGGTCAATGAATTTGTGAAGGGAGTTACATCTAATAAGTGGGAGACAGGGCTTTTTGCACTGACTCTTTGGACTTAAAGGCGCTTCAAGGGAGGAAAAAGAGAACGGAAGGTTGGAAAGTGGGATGAAACTTGTTGCCAATGTCATAAGGAATAAGTTATAGCACTTGTAAAGTGCAGGCTTGCTTTAGAAATAGAATACAGTCATTTAATAAGAGAATCACAGTTTCTTGAAGCTGAGGATTTGAACATAAGGAAAGATATGCACAGAAAATTGAAGGAACATTGCGTAAGGAGATCTAAATTTTTTAAGGCGTATTTTAGCCTGGATTTGCACCTATGTATTTTTGAAAATATCACTTGTCAGCCATGTCACAAAAATAAAAATCCTAATTAAAAGCCACAAGCAAACGGTCACAAACTTGAACATATCTGCTGTATATCATTACGTGACACTGCGAGCTAACTATTGCAAAATTGCAACGCACACCCACCATAATTACCATGTCAGTTTGTTTTGAAAGGGCGGCAATGTTTGTTCTTCCGTGAGCGAAATCTTAATTTCGAGCCTTCCATTTAGATTAACAAGGAAGTTCCTCATGTCATCACGATTTGCAAAAAGGGTAAGACCTCAAATTTGCAAAGGATTTCCTGTCAAAAATAGTCGACGAAAAACAAAAAAAAACGTGGTAAAATACGGTGTGTTGCGAATCTGCTATGCACACAACCTTAGAAACGAAGAAAAAGGTTCAATTTCGAAGCCTTTTACATGTTTCTGGGAGACTTATCATGTCAATTATTGAAGACAAGATGATCGATCATCCCCGTTAATTATTACGGTAACATCTTTTTTCGAAATTTTTCATTGTCAAGAATGATGTATTATCCTCATTTTAAGCAGTCAATTTTCAATTTTATGTTCGAAAGAGGAAATCACAGGCGAGAAATTAAAATTTATGTAATTTGACTAGCTATTATGAATAGCTAGTCAAAAATCCATTTTATAGCAAAATTGAAAAGTTAGAAAACTACAAAATAGGTTGCAAAAAACGTCATAATTATCTCAAAAATAAATGACAAGAAAAAATCAAAATTTTGAGGTCTCAAGGCCGTGTCCGAGATGATGTACTTGACATTACACGTGCCATCTCAAGAAACTTACAAATTGTCATTGAAACCTTCAAAAATTAACGAAATTTCAGAGTACAAGAGCTCTGTGACAATTATCAAAAGTTTTTTGGGAAGTGACAAGACTCGAGATATGTTACGTAATGATTAATGGATCGGAGAGACGGCCGAAAATTAGGGAAGAGCGGCCCAACGGGGCTTTTGTTATTATTGCAACAAGAAAAAAACGGATGATTGGGGCGTGGTCAATAAGATATATCGAGTAAAATACGGGTATATGATTGAAAGGTGGGGCTTGTATGATTTTGAGATGATCAAAAATCTAGAAATAGGTAAAAAGTCGCGAAATTAGCTAATGTCATGACATTTCACTAGGGTCAAATCAAGATTGAACAGTTAAAACGGGGTCAAGGGAGTTCGCAACGGCTCGGAATCCCCCTTTATTCTAACTCCCATGTTTTTTTAATCGCCCATTGTTTCTCTTTCTAGATGAGCCGAATTAATAAAGCTCGAACCTTTGATCTTTCAAATCACCAGAGGTTCGCGCTTTACATGTTTACTCATGTCGTTGCAAGCTCGAAGTGGGTTCGTAGGAAGCAATTAGGCCCCCGCGATTAAAATTAAACGCCCACAATCCGATCAGGACATAAGCTTTTGGCCGATGAGCACTGGAAAATACAAAGTCCGTACCGATTCTTAAGACTTAAACAGAAATTTTAGCACGTAAAAATTTGCGAGCTCAAACCTGAACTTATGCGCTTCTAGAGTTCATTATCGATGTTTCTGATGGTGGTATTAATCTTCAACAAAATAACACGAGTATTTACTGTATTTCGCCCATTGTGAGGATAGTTTTTACATACATTATAGGTTGCAATAGAAGTCTAGACCGATAACAATTCTGTGGAAAATAACAGAAGAGAAAAAGGCTGGGGAATTCATCATCTTTTTCTTTTTTCCTAAAATACGAAGTAAATTTTTTATACACCTAAAATGTCTCATAAAACAGAGTGATGACTAAATTCCCCAGCTTTTAAAACAGTATTGACAACGAATAACTGGTGGAATGACACTTTCAAAGGTCGCTGACAAAGTCGAGTTAAAGTATTATGTACAAGTGCCACAATGCACCATAACAATTAAAGTTTTGTCTTGAGGTAGGAGACCATTATGCGGCGGCTAGGTTCGTCTTTTGGGGGACTGGACCAATATCTTGTTTGCTGACTGTAGCCTGGAGGCGGGGCTTCGATGGCATGAAGGGGAGCTTGTGGACAACGCGATTTCGGAGGATGAAACTGAAATATTTGGCGGTTAAATTAAATGTCATAGATAGGGAATTGGTCGATTTCTGGTCGATATTAATCTACTTACTCGTTGATCTGCTTGCCGAAGGAATATCCATCCTGAGCAGTTCCACAATCATCGTATCTTCCGGTTTCTCCATTTTCATTTACTGTCTCGTGACAATCTTCAAACCCTCGTTGTTCCCGCGTCGCTCCAGGCACAATGTTATCCAAAACAAAGGCAAGTAAACCACCGATAAACATTTTGATTTGTAGTAAAATATTGAGCATCTGATCAATCTCATCAACGCCGACGTCGACTGGATGACCTTTGGCATAGTCGGGAATTACCACTCCCATGATGATAGCCAGGCCGACAATGGTGAGGTTACGGGTAAGTGTAAGATCAACGGTCTGAAAAGTAAATTTATTAATTCTTACTTAGAACATTATCGTGTCGAAACGACAGTTGAAAAGGCTACCACTTACCCTAAGATTAGAGAAAGCCAGGCCACAGATCATGCAGACTCCCATGCCAAGAGTTCCACCAACAATTGGATCAGGAATTGTTGCCAAAACCGCCCCGAATTTGGTAAAGATACCCAGGAAAATGAGCATCACTCCAGCAATCTGCATAGTGTACCTTGAGGCGACCCTGGTCAAAGATACCACGGCTACGTTTTCGGAATAAGTGGTCACACCAACTCCGCAACCCATGAGGCCAGCGAGGAAACAGCCAACACCTAAATTCAAAAGGTTAGACGTGGATAAAGGCAGAATTTTTTTCGTGATTACAATAACTGAAAGAGCTCAATTTACCTTCAACAACAATAGCACGGTTCAAGGTGGAAGACGGCGGAGGTTTTTCTTGCGATACTCTGGCCAGAACGCCATAAGCGCCCAGACTTTCGACAGAGCAGGCAACACAAGAGGCCAACATACCAAGGAAAAGTCCCAGGCTGAAGCGAGGAAATCCAAATTGTCCTGAAATATGGATGATTAAGAAAACAGATTGAAATTTGTATCATGTCTGACAATTGTCGTAAGACAGGTCGGTAGTAGTAAAATGTTTACCTGGATAGGGGACCTGGAAGATAGGCGAGCCCACTAGAACACTCATCGACATATTCTGATCAACTCGAGCTGGTCCTTCAGGCTTTTCAATATTGGTGACTGTCAAAAACAGGGCGAATAACCATGTTAAAACAATTGAAATTAGGTACTGAAATGATTACAATTAAAAACTATTATCCGTAAAAATAGAGAATAAAAAGGATTATGCTTACCGGAAACTGTCCAAAAAGTCGATATCTGACAAAGTGGATGCCTTTCAGATCGATATAAGGCAAGGGAACTTGAGTCTCGGCCAAGAACAGAGCAAAACAGCATAGGACTGCGAATTGGCTGAAAAAATTAAAAGATCCTGTAGAAATGACAATTATAAATGCGTAGTGATCAATGTGGCACTTACATTATTGAAATCCAATGAGTTCCTGACTTTTCCAGGATCAATGGAGCATTTCCAAGGCAAAGAAGGACCATCAACGGGCAGATAGTGACAGGTCCAGTTCGACGAGCGATAATTCCGATGAGTCCAGTGGCACCGACAAAAATCAGCATCAATGCAGCACCAGCCAAACTTCCTTGTATCTAAAATTAGGCCCAATAAAGTGTATGAAAGCCAGGGTGTATAAAAACCCCAATTTGTCCCTGAGGCATCAGCAAAGAGCACCGGTTTTATTCTGACTTACCGTCTGTATCCTGTAGAGAACACTTTCTTCGGGGACCTCATCATGTATTGTGGATTTACATTCCATTCCGGGCAGATCATTGAAAGCAAATAACGGCGGGATAAAAGCGAAAGAAGGGCCTTGAAGAATGGCCAAACGGAGACCCAAAGTAGTCTGAATAAGAGTGGTCAGTCCGGTTACAACAAGAGTGGTTGAGATCAGTTGAACGCGTAAAGCAATCGTTGCGAGACCAGCGCACGCAACTTGAGAGACCAAATGAGGGATTACGAGGATCCCGGAGATACACACCATCGTTTGCTGAAAACATAGGATCATACAGCCGATAGTCATCGTTTTTGGACATAATCTTTTGTTCCAATTTTTAGCAATTTCTCTTTTTTTCATATGTGCACAAATCTCACCTGAAATCCCAAGAAGATCGCCTCCTTCCAATGAGGCATATCAGTCGCCCGATATTGGAGATCATTCAAGGTTTTCTCTGACTCGCAAGAGCTCTCCGGCACTGTAATTGAGATGGACTCAGTCCTTCTTTCCTCCCGCTCATCCATGTAATAGGCTCCTGGATCATGATCATCATCATTCTCCGGCATTTTCTTCTTCGCTCCATTTGAATCGACTTGGTTTGTTGATGGCATTGTCTTCAAGACTTTTAGCTAAATGGAGATGAACATGTTAGTCAGGTGATAAAGTTCGAACTCGCACGTGACATGAACAGTGACGGGAATATAGATGTACGTGGCATGGAGAAGACTTGAGGAGAAGATTTGACCATAAGATGACGTAAATATGGAGGAAACGCGACACGCAAGAATCAGATTGTAGATTGAAATTGACAATGATTGACGGAGCTATGGAAGTTGATACAATCAAGAATACAAACCGTTCTGTTCCTACACTGTATATCACACTTATTCCCAACGTTCCTCTGTCCCGAATTTATATTCCCAGAGCATCGGTAAACAGCCAGCGATTCCGGGGAATCGGAAATTCACAAATTCAATCAAACGCACCGCCCATGCACCCGCAATAAAAATTATTATTTTAAATCTGACTGTTTACCTATCACATGAAAACCATGACGTCATGGGAACAACGTTCAGTTTGTTCCTTTTTTTCTAGGTTACAGTATGTTCACTAATCCAAAAATGCAAAGTATTTCTCTTCTGGAACTGGGAGCAAAAAATAAATTTGAATTGTAAACTAATTTTGGTTTGAACACGTATTGCATGTGTTCCTGAATATCCATAACTGTGCTCAGGCAAAGAAGAAGAGATGATTCAAAATTTACTTTGGACTATGATACGACAAATGATGTTAAGACCGCGAAATCAATGTGAATGGTGACAAGGTAAGTATATAGGAGAAGTGAAAAATGAAGTGACAAGATGGAGAAAACCCCGAGATTGTTGTCCTTGCCGATCTAAAGGATGTTACAGGCAAAGGCCACGAAAAACTAAGAGCAAAAGCAAAAGATTGCCAAGCTCGAACGATGGTCTCGTCGTTCCATCCATTCTCTGAAAACTTTCTTCAATTTCACCTATAGCTATGTATTTTTCCCTGTAGTTTATACAACTAACTCTAGTCTAATTTTGATAACAATTCTGCGATCAGTAGTGCAACTCTATCTTTAAAGACTTTCCAGCTAAAAACGAGCCAAAAATGTGATTTTTTGTACTGAAAACAATACGAATTGTTTACCCATAAACATGACTTTTTTTCATAAATTATCAGTGCACATATTAAAATTATATACTTATTGTATTGCCGAAACTGTGGTTTACAAAAAATGGATTACAAGCTGCACTTTCTGACCGCATTCTTGTTACCGTGCCCTTATTTTTGTCATCCGATAAGAGTGTCAATCGACACATTGCAGTGTTTGTTTCCTACAATGCGTTTCTTATCCAATAAACTCCATTTTGAAGATGAAAAGGCTAGACCACAGATTGACAATCTTATCGGGGAATTGTAGAAATCTTAGTGGTGTTTCTGTACTATACGATGTAAATCGTAGTCAGTATTTCTCTATAAAACGGTCTAATTCTGTCAGCTTCTTATTTCTAAATGTTTCTCACTTACATTACTATATACGTTATATGGTAATTAGGTATTTGATTAGTAAAAAAGCCACCTATGTAGATATCCCATATAACAAAAGATCAAGTGTATTTCAGAGGTACTCGCTCTGATACACCCCTCTCCCAACCCTACCTGTTTGATGGCTGAGTTCAGGATTACTGTAACAAATATTAACTTTCTTTTTTCTTAAAAAATAGACCTCACTATAAAAAGTGTTACAGTAATCCTCCACTCTCACCATTCCCGAAAATTACGACCGTGACAGATGAAGTGACGCAACAAATCTTTTTCGTTTGAACTCACCGATTCGTCGTCTCCCCGGAGGCATTTCTCGGATTACTCGGAGCAACCCAACCACTTTAACGGCATCCACAAATTCCAAAGGCTCCATGGTCATCCTGCAATCATAACAAAAACATGAAGCAACCGGTTGCCGAGGCTAAATGGCGCAATAAGTGATAGGGATGGTTAATGCCGAAATGAAAACAAGGGAAAGTTGTCAAACAAATTTTATCGCCAGAGGGCATTAATTACTCATTCAAAGTGTTATCAAGTGAAGCTTTGATAAAATTGGAATTTTTGGGGTCAACCAACTTTATGTAAAACACAAACTTAGAAGTCAAACTTTTCAAAGCCCTCAAAAAAACGGTGTTAAGGCAAAGCAGGGCTGTACAAGCTCGGTTCGAAGAGTGGGAGCGCAGAGAAGGCGGACTTTGGGACTTCCAAGTCAAAGATTTGGAATTTCCGTAAACAAATTTGGGTTTCCCACCATCTGGAAGGCTTTGGAAAGAATTATGGGTTTGTTTATGAAGAACTACCAATCCCAATCTCCTAATATGAAAACACTTTCTTTTTCAATGAGTACTGTTTATAACTAGTCAACTTTCTTATCTACCTCACAATATTAAAACAAACTTTGTTTGAAAAGGCCGTAGTATGTGTGTCGTGAATGAAAATGATTGTTTTTTAAACTCGCTACCTTATAAATAGTAATGATAACGGGAATTTAGCAAACGAACTTTCACATGATTTTTTAGTGATCTAAAAAATGTTTTAGTTTTTCCGACGACTTGTTGCTGCAACAAAATCTAGTATTTTTTGTCGTAGCTTGGACAAAAATTAAAGTCATCGCGGGAGGTGTCATGGACAATATAATTTGCTAAAAAATCAATATTCCCGTTCCCTCAGCGTCCTTCAACTTCGCCTCCCCTTTCCATCCATCCCAGTCAATCCGCCAGAATGCTAATTTAAAAATTCTAATCCCCACCTCACCACCAGCGGACCTTCAACCTCCCCAAACCGCAACTCCAACATCATATGGATCGCTCTTACGAAAAAGCGCGGTATTATGAAACCCTCGACTGATAACACTCCACTTTACAACGCGCTCTTTAAAGATCATCGCAGTTTTTTGAACTTGTAAGTGACGGTCATGGGAGGAGTCTTCTCTTTCGGAGAGTAAATTTATTCCAAAAAAAAGTGCCAAAGAAGGGACGCACATTTTTGTGGCGTTCCCCGGGTGATCTCTGGTCTGGGCCGCAGTCCTTCGGGTCCCTTTTCGCCTGGTGTTTTTGTTATTTCTTTTTCCACTCTCCCTTTGGCCCATACCCTCTAGGTTTTATCTAATTCTCTTCTAAAAACTGTGTACTCTTTCGTCCCTCTGATTACTCTGGATATTGTTACTATGTGGTTGTGGCGAGCCTAGGATTTTGGCACTACGACCACAAAAAAATGCAATTTTAATGCGAAGGGGCCGCACTTTGAGCTCTGAAATAAAGCGGACAGGATAAGAAATCGGCCTTCAAAAACGAAAGAACAAAACACAAAACATGAAAAGAAAGGGTTACGGTAGGCATCAGATGTTGGTGTTTGGGGACTTGCCGCAGCCTGGAATACTAGTCGTTCCAGAAAGTGCGTGCACTTTTTTCCGCCTTTTTTGCACCGCACAGTGCAAAATTTCGTGTTCTCCGCGCGACGCGATCCTTTTCGAAACATTTTGCACTGTGCAATTTCATTTCATGCGCCCAAAATTCGCGCCCACTCCGTTGAGAAAAGCTTGTGTCGCAGCGATATTGGATTTGCACGGTGCAAAAGGTCAAATGCACCCCGCAAAAAGGGAATTTTGTGCACAGTGCGGCCCACGACAAAAAGTGCACGCACTTTCTGGAACGACTAGTAGCAATTGAATTACTCAAAAATGTGCTCATAAACGTTCAGCAAGATTGAGACCAAATAAAGAACACGGTTTAAAAATTTAAGAGTCCACAAAGATACAGAAGGCGCTGTAACTATATATAATTTATATAATTCACACCCCGAGCCCATGTTTACCGCGTTTTATTTATTGTAAAGCAACCACCTCCTATTTATCATACAATTTAACCAAAATCCTCCCGTGGTATCGCTACCTTTCGCAGTTGTTTTTGCGTCATTCCGAATAATCTATTCCTGCCCAAAATGTTTTAAATGATCTATTTAATCTCCAGTGAAGAAACGGAAATTTGGAGAAGCAGTAAAGCGAACTTTGGACACAGAACGGTTAAAAGGTTAAAGGGACTCTACAAGTTAGTCTTGTTAGGAATGCATAACAAAAATGGCAAGAGCTTGGGAACGAGAAAGAATAACAAAAAAGCTAAAAGAATGTGAATCGTGATGAGGCTTCAGAAATTTTAGATCTTTCAAGGCCGGGCCAGGCTTCAAAAATTTTGAATACAGGCCGGGCTTGCTTTTCATAGACCCGGGTTTCAGCCGTCAGGAGCAAAAATCCCGGCCCAATTCCATGTCTGACTCTCTTACCTGCTGTCATATATGCCCACGCACACCGCCAACCTTTATTCTGAACATTCAAGGCAACAGAATACAAAAGACCAAACCTTCAAAAAAAGACAGCGAGACTTTTAAAAATCAGTCTCAGAAAGGTCATGTTACAAGAACACGCAAACAGTGAACTCTGAAATGATTCGGTATTCATATAATTGCTCGAAAATCCATTATGCAAATAAACACAGGTTCACAAGACGTCAAACAGTGACAATAACGTACGGAACAATAAAAAGACGTTAGAAAAATGGAGTGATACCTTTTTGGAGGGTTTCTATTAATAGAGGGTTTGCGGAAAAGATTATGGTAAGTAAGGCGAGTTTTTTTTTGTTTGGAGAGCGGCAAATTGAGATTGTATTTGACAAATTGATAATGGAAAACAAAGAAATTTGCGGAAGAAAAGCTTATGGCGTGAATTACACATATTTAAAACCGCATTGTAAACATAGCAGTTTTACATTTTCTTTTCATTGATCACAATAAATCTCAAAAAATAGCACGTTTCACCGGTTTTTAATCCCTTATAATACAACGGCAAACAGTTTTATATTATTGTTTTGAAGGCCTTAATCCGTTCGAGCCGCTCTCTAAAGATCGTTGGTGTATTTACGGAGGTTTTATGGAATCACGAGGCCTTTGAATCGCTAGGCTCTCTGATAAAAGAAGAAGAATGTTCGCTGATTTTACCAGATTCTGATAAGGGTGATGGTAAGTTAAAGGTCAAGAAAGTCTTGCAATTAGAGGAGGAAAACATTTTTGGATGTTTTGGACTTTCAATACATTTTTATCCGTTTGATATAAGCTTTTCTTGCTACAAAACTGCAAAGCATGTTGTTAAAATTACAATCCACCTATTTCAAAATGATATCTAAGAATAAATTTCTCAAGATATCCTTTAGTGTAATGCCCAAAAAAAACGTCCTTCCGGTCAATGTTTACTCCGTTATCCAGGCCAAAGCCCCATCTAAATTCAAAAACAAGATAAAAAAACTGATTAGCAATCAAAACTATACAAACATCATTGTTTTTATGTAATTCTTGGTGTTTTCATCAATTTTTGAGTACTGATAAGATTCCTCGCCGAATGAAAGGAATTTGGCGATAAAAGCGAACATTACAAATCATAAAACCTTTAAAAGTTGAGAAAAACAAAGTCTGTGTGCTCTACCTCCATTTATGGTTGCAACATGTGACAGAAATGGAAATAAAGATCAGCATTTTTGACGGGGGGAACTACGATTGCGAAATTTGGAGAAACTCGTGAGATAAGGTGGGATAGCAAACAGTCGACTGTGAGGATGTGTTAAAAATTGCTGACAAGTCAAGCCAATTGAGGAACAGGCACTGCAAACGCAAACTAGGAATGGCTGAAATTAAAAACATTAAACAGCCGATGTGGCCTAATTTCGTTTCTTGGCCAAGCCTGAAATTTCAGAATTGGCCCAGAGCCCCTTAAAAGCCAGAGGGCATATCTCTTTTTGCAAGACGTGACCTTTCGGAAAATACCTGATTTGTAAATAACACGTAGAGCTTAAAACCACAGCCAGACCATCTAAAGCCCTGTCACGATCTCCGGAACAGTCCCTGAACCATTTTAGCCTCCCTCTCTTAAGCCCATCACAACCACATGTTATAACAATTGTCTACCCTAACATTTCCACGAACTCCCATCAAATTCCACGTTAAATCCTGCTGTTCGTGTCTGCGATCGTATTTCTCTTTATGGGCTTCACACGCCTCCCGGCAGTCACAATAAGTTCGTTTTCTATGAACACAGCTTTAATCTCATTTTTTTCAAAATTATTCTAAATTGAGGTTTTTTCAGTCACGGGTAAAGTTTTTGTGTACTCTCCGCGTCAATAGTAAGGTACACTTTGACAGATCAAATAATGATCGGGTCAGGATTTGCATAATTTTGAGGAGGAATGGAGTCAGCGTTGCCAACAGTTAAAGTCAGGTGTGATTAAGTCTCTGAAACTTACGTAGAGAGTAAGCAAGTCAATGGGATTTATGTTAGATAGAAAGTAGTCTATTTGGGAAGTTTTATTACACTAGTAGCCATATAATGTCATTGTTATCTCAAGATCTTATTACATAAATATTTATTCAATAACATAGGAATGCAAACAAAAATTACAACATTCAAAAGGAAAGACTTTAGAAAACACCGGGTGAAGATGGAAGATGGTACAGGCAGCACCCAAAGACACGGACTATGCCAATCTGGAGATTAGATATCACAAATCGAATATTACAAATTATGAAGACTTTACGGTAGAAAAATGAGAACAACGGGCTTAGTTACGTTAAACATACCTTCTGCTGCAAAAAGGCTACAAAATAGAAGTCAGATTCTCGAAAAATCTTTTTTGTGACAACAATATGGAACATACTGGGCGTATTGTAATCGGTGAGAAGTGTAAATGGGAAATGGATTTGACAATTACGTTTACAAACACGGAAAGGAAGTGACAAAAGGGAGTTCGAGGGATCGGGTACTAAAAAGAGGAGGGAATTGAGAAAAGGAAACCACAGGACTGCTCCAAGTTGATGATCAGGTTAGTATGAAAAATTAGGATTGGTGATAAAATCGTTAAAGACGAGATTTTCAGAAATTTGGGACTTTCAAAGACATGTTCTTTTATAATTTAAAGCCCTGAAAAAGGTTAATCTGCAACAACAGAATTATAAAATATTTAGATATTATATATAAAACCTAGCAATAGCCTGTATGAACTTTACAGGTAACACTAAAATAATCATCCATAGTGATTATCCTTCAAAGCGCATCCATCTCTGTTCGCATCCAAGATATTCAAGTCACTATGATGAATATAAAACCCGTTTAATAATGCTGTTGATTTGTAATTCTGCTTCAATATTGTGCACTCCAAATTGGAGACTGGCTTCAGCTCGCATTTCGGCAAACTTGGGCAGCCAAAACTGTGCTTTTCGAGGAGTGAAGCGAAGCGATGATAGCATTTAACAAGCTCGTTGTAGTAGTGGAATTTGGATGGGAGGTTTTGGAATACCTAAACGGACATTGTGTTTGCAAATAAGACAAACAAGTGGGCGTATTTTAAACAATAATGTCTTACATGAGTCAGATTATTTCTCTTGAGAAAAGAGACAAATTGGAGATCAAGTTTTTTGCCATTTGCAACGAAAGTTCGATTGGCCAAGGTCATGTTCTGAAAAAATTAATAAAATTTAGCTCTCATTTGCACAAATTTTCTGAAAAATCCTTTCCGTGGCTTTTCTCTTGACGTTTTCTCTCAAACGGCGAAAATTTTGTCCATTTCGCACCGTGCAATGACTCTTTTCCTCCTTCCAACTGCACTGTGCAAAGGAATTTCACAACTTTTTCCGTCTGTTCTTCCTTTTCTCTGCCTTTTTCTCGTCTCCACAAACTCCTCACTCTCTCACCAAGAAGAAACAAGAAGTCGCTGCGATGCAAAAAAATCGCAGCGACAACCCTGATTTTCCGCGACAAACAATTGATTTTTCCAGCGGAATCCCAATTCATGTCGCAGAAAACGCGCGACAAATGGAGCGACGAGCCCCTGCGATGCTTTGTCGCGCGCTTTTTCAGGATGCGACGAGGCTTTGCGACGACTTGTCGCACTTGGGAAATGAGTTCGGAGCAGAATTTGGGAAAAAGTGGATTGAAATTGGAGTTTGGAATGAGGGGAAAAATGCACAGTGCAGTCCCAAAAAGTGAGAAATGCAAAAATGAATGCACGGTGCATGCAGAAAAGGAGGGCGTTGTGCAAAATTGACCAAGAAAATCGACAAAAAAGTCTTCAAAAAATTTGTAAAAATAAAAAATGTCACCAATCAACCTTCTTTGCTTTTGAAGACTCACCGTTTCATCAAATCCCCACTGTCTAAAGTGATAAACCCTCGAGAAATGGCCTCCCAATTTGATGACGTCATATTCGGGCCTTGTTCTTGACGGGGCGTGAAGCCATATTCCATCAACTTGATCCGGCCGGCCAACAAATTTGCCTGTTTGGATGTTCGAATCATCGACTTCGATGTTATCTATGGTGCCGATCATATCAAAATTGCTTGGAGAATGAGCTGAAAGCAAAGGTTTCCGTATTTTACGTTCACAAATGACTTGTTTGGAATATTGTTGTACTTACAAGTATGGACAGTCGATTGAGGTCGTTGGAAAATAAAAGCCGCGGTATTTGGATACAATCCACTGAGCCATTTCATCTCTTTGTAGTAGTCTCTGTGAGTCTCGGGGATAAGAACATCATCCCAATCAGCGATCATCATAAACTCGGCGCTTTCTTTGAACTCGTAGAGACAAGAGTTGTAGGAGAAGTCTTGATTATACCATTCGTTTTCGGAGTTGGGGTCGTAATCAAGGTCTGGCTGAAAACTTTTATTCTAAAGAGTTGAGGTAAAATACGATCTTTTGTAAGCGCCAAGTTTGGCCAAAAGGTTAATTTTGTTAAACAAAGAATTAATTTTTATAATTTTGATATCAAATATCGCGCCTTTTTTCTAGTTAATTACTAGTCGCGCCATAAAGTCCTGACACATTTTGCACCGTGCGAAAGTTCGGGATTTGGACGTCGCGCCCCCAAATTCGGGTTTGTCGCGCGCGAAAGTGCACGTCGCTAGCGCAAAAACGGGAAATCGCGGCGACAAATGCGAAATGAATGAAGAATGCACGGTGCGAAAGTTCGGGTTTTGCACGTCGCTAGTGCAAAACGGGGAAATCGCGGCGACAAATGCGAAAAGATGCACAGTGCGGATGAAATGAAAGAAGAATGCACGGTGCAAAATGAATTTGGGGGCGCGACGTCCAAACCCCGAACTTTCGCACGGTGCAAAATGTGTCAGGACTTTATGTCGCGACTAGTACAACTCCCTCAGCCTTACCGGCTGAAAAAGCCTTGTTGCCTTCCGAATCTTGACAAATCCTTCTCGTTCGTAAGCCAACAAAATTCGGTAAATATCGGAGAGAGCGGATTCGATATAAGTCACCATTAGGTCGGCTCCATAATATCGATAAAGCTCAATGGAAGTGATAAATAACTGCCAATTTTCGAACATGAACATCCTCGACATACAGACAATAAAATTGCGTTTTTGTTTGTCAGCGGGTTGGAAGGGGAGCTGAAAAAAAATTTCTTATTGTAAAAGTACTGTAAATAATACTTTGAATAGACGTTTTCGTCAATAAATTATAAAAAACAAAATTAAGAGAAAACTTTAAAAAGTATCAAAATGTATCCAAAAAAAGTTTTTTATCGACAAGCTCCTTACCTCTTCGCGGACACCCGAATCGCCTTCCAACGCAAAATACGAGGGGTTTCTGGTGACCGGACAAAGCGCGACCATAGTTGTCCACCGGCATTGCAATGGCGCCACTAAAGCCATGTCAGTCCGAGCTGGGACTCGCTTTTCTTGATTAAATTCGTTCCTTGAAATACAAGTAATCGGGAAATCAAGTGCATTCTTCCGAGCAGAATAAATTACAGCTATCGTGTTTGGGGGTAGACTGAAAAAATTTTGTACTGTTTTTTATCGTTGCCTTTTCGAACATAGACTTCAAGTTCGCTCACCTTTTCGACTCATTGTAGTAGAACGCGGCCACCACGAACATGTGTGTTTTCTCAGCCACCCCCACAGCCCATCGCCACTTCTGGTAAATGAGTGTGTTTTGAATCGAAATCACCGCCAAAAATCCACAAATCAGAATGAAAAGATGCGTGTATTTGGAGTTGTGTTTGAATTTTGTCTTCGATCCAAGCCGCAGTCGAACATTCGAGATTACATCGGGGAGTTGCATTGCCACCGAGCTCGCGACGGGCTGCATCTTTGCGACTAAAAATTTTGATAAGTTTTTTAATTTGAAAATGACCAAAACTTTCTTTAATCCCTTCAAATCCCCGAAAAAGCAACAGTAATGAGATCCGTTATCTTGAAACAACCGACCAACTTGTAGCTCTCTCTTCCCCCCTTTTCCCAACTAATCTCCCAAAATCTCGGACCTTTGACTAACGGCGAAAAAAAGGTGAGAAAATGAGAAAGGCGCGAAAGAGGTGGCTCTTCTAGGAGGTAAATGTCAGGTATTACTGTAGATATGTAAGTTCAAAAAAAACAAAAAGTAACAAGCGGTGAAAAGAAATTGGAAATAAACAGCAACCGTGAACGATGGTTACGGATGGCAGAAAAAAAACTATAATATTTAAACTTGATGTGAGATACGACATGGAATAGCTTTACTTTTCTGAACCCATATAATCATTGAATATCAAGGTAATCCCCGCTAAACATACCTAATCTGCCAGATCTCGCATAGGAGACAGCACATGCACAGAGTTTGAAAAAATCAAACATTTCATGTGGTTACTATAGTAAACTCAGCATGACAATACATATATCAGTGAACAAATAAACGATCGCTGCTATAATATAATAGTTTCAGACATTTTCTAAACTACATACTCTCTGACTCATTGGCTGACTAACAAATTGAACCCTTCAAATAAACTGGATTTTCGGCTTTACAAAAATCTTCCCTCCAAAAAATCTCGTTATCAGATCTAAAGTCAACTTTCAGCGCTTCCTCGAATTAATTTTGATGTTTAATTTACGAAATAAAATAATTGAAATCCCTTCCTGACTCATCGAACATCCTCCTCTACGTGAGTTCTGTGAGCTCCCACGCCAAATATTATGAATAAGAAGGGCTTCCGCCTCTGGGCATATCTCGTTTTGAGGGGAGAGTCCATTTCCTTCACGGCGTTTCCACTGATTGCGATCAATGTAGAAGGTAAAGGGAGTTGAAATGTGGTGGTAAAAGGGATCAAACAAGCATCCTACGGAATCTGCGTATTTTACAGAAAACTCTTTCGTTTGCAATTTTTTACCTTCCTACAAAATCTATTATAGTTTATTTACCTCTCAACAAAAAATATTTAAAAATTGCCTTTAGTGAACTATTCTCTAAAGATGTGTAAAAACACAACATGTTTAAGAACAAGGAAATGAATTGGGCGTTGAACCGGACTCGTTTACTTAGCGATAAGCGATGGAAGAAGATCTTTGAAAATTCAGAGATCCACAAACAGCAGAGCTACACCACCAAAAAATAATTGCTGCAAAAAGTAATCAAACACTTAGCCTGAATGGCTTCGTCTTCAAGGAGATCAGCCAAATGCAAAGTCAGTTCAAATTTTGCAAAAAATTGAATTGAACCAGGCAAAGTCAGTCAACGGAAATGCGACATCTGGAATTCCGTATTCGTTCATTATGGAGTTCACAAAAATTTGCCTCAAAAACCTCAAATTTCTCCCTAAAAATCCTATTATAATCAATAAACCCTCCAAATTCAATCCGCCAACCCGGTTTCCCTCCATTCCGTTTACCAGATGGATCAGTGTAAGGCATAAGCAAATGATTGGAGTTCCTTCGGGGTTGCGCAATCTTTTCCCTCAGGGAGCCCGCTTTCCGGATTTGAAAAACCGGAACCGGGCTTTCGCTTTTTTTGATTTCGAATATTTGGAGTAAAGGAACAAAAATTTTTCAAGTTGAAGTGTTTCTGCCCTTATCGCGGATCTAAATCAGTACCAACAATAGCTAAAATAAATAAAATCAAAAGCCCGGTTCGTATTTTAAATTTAATAACCTTAAATTTAAAACTTATCCGGGGGATGTACCAGATTTACAAGTCAAATAATCAAGTTCAACAATGAACGAAATAGTTTTTGCTCTTCTCTACCCAAATTAACATGGTTAATAATCCTCTCCACGGCTGACTACTTCTTTGCAGGTGGGTCGGAGGATGATGGTGTGTTCCCATTGTGCCGTGTAGCATCCTTTGACATCACAGAGAGGTGGGTAGGCATTGACAATGTCCTTGTCACAGAGATCTTTCAAAGCCATCAAATACTTGGTTTCCCCGAGACGATCCAGCCAGCGGCGACAGAAAGCGAGTGTTCCAAAGTTCTTGTTGATCGTATTCAGGAGGGCTTTGGAGCGGGCAAGACTAAAAATTCATTATTTTAGTGATCTTGGTAAAAAAACTTCTAAAAATAATTGCAAAATAAAGCCACAACCTCAAAATCCAAAAACCAAATTCTTTCCTACCGTAATGGGACATGAGTATCGGCAAGATCAAAGTTTTTCATGTAATGCGAGCACTCCATATCATCATGAACATATCCTTTTCCAGTGGACCCAAAGGTCTCAATCGCAAACACTTCATTCTCTTCCATCTTGGTCTGATCTCCTCCTTTGACAATGGGGACAGTTTTACCGGCATGGATGCGATATTGGCCGATCGAGTGACCTAGAAAAAACATTAAATTTTATTAATTTTATATTACGCATCATGTATAATATAAATCATTCCCTTACCATTCAAATTCCTGATTGGTTTGACGACATAGGTCTTTCCATCAAGTTCGATCTCATGCGAGGTCATAACTTCTTCCACAACCTCTCCAATGTCGCAAAGTCTCACATCAATTCCAGCTTCTTTGATTCCAGCATTGGTCGCTTCTCTGACGGCTTCCATCAATGGGTCGAATTTATGATCAAAGGTCAGAGTGAAAGCACAGTCGATAATTCGACCATTCACATGCGTTCCGTAATCAATTTTGACGATATCCGATTCCTTGAGGACCGTTTCATCGCCCGCATTTGGGGTGTAATGTGCCGCACAATGGTTGATTGAGCAGCCGGTGGGGAAAGCGAGGCCGGCGTCGAGGCCAGCTTCACTGATCATATGGCGGGAATGGGCTTCGAGACGTTCGCTGAAAGGATTTCATGTTCATTATTTACAAGCACAGTCATTCTATTATCAAATCTATCTGTTGGGCCATGGTTAATATAAAATTTCTCCAGGTTTAATCGACAAAAAAATTTTTATCGATGGCATAAAGTTTAGACAAAATTTTAAGGGCGAAATTATCAAAGACCTCGTCTCTACAATCAAATTTTTTTTCAAAATCCTCACCAAATATCAAACATTTTCATGCCGGGCTTCACCCAACTCTTGACCCATTTCCTGGTCTGCCGATGACTCTCCGCGCCCCTTCTGAAGTCCTCATACATATGCTCGAACGACGTCTCCAGGCTCTTCTTTTCCTGCGAGGTGATCCTATTCAACGTGGTGGTATCATCTTTTCCCGGGAGATATTCATGGCATTCCCCGACCGGATATTTCCCATCTGGGAATTGCTTATCGATGGGTTTGAGTTGCTTGATTTCCTCGAGGACTTTGGTCATTTCATCGAGGGGGGCTTCTTCCACAGGAGCCGCATCGCCGTTTTGGGCCTTTTTGTTGGCTCCACCCGCTGATTTCTTGGCGTTCTGCTTGGCATTCGCCTTTTCGGTGGTCAGGTTTACTTCGTTCAGAAGAGCATCGAGGTTGTCGAGGTCGTCACCTAAAAATGCAACAATAAATACAAAAAAAAACTTGAAAGAGGCCCAAAAATAATACTTTACCTTGTTTGGCTTGTTTCTTCCCAGCTTTCTTGCCCATCTTTACAAACAATAAGTCGAGTAAAAATCAAAAACAAGTTTGAACCACCTAAAAAATGATAAATAAACAAAATAAGCCTGCTCAGTCTTGACATTCACCAATAATATCAAGTGCAATATAAAAGCGTCTTCAAAAAATCAAAGTAATAATCAGTTTCAGAACTGCGTCATATCCAAATCAATAGAAAAACACATTATAACATCAAAAAATATTTATCGCGCATAAAAATCCATAAACCGGGTGGAAAATAACCTGTAATTACACCGGTGAATAAGTGAAGAATAAAGATCAACAGAATTTTACCCGTTAACAAAACATGATGATGCTCAAGGAAAACCACGTATTTTAGGGGTTGTGAGGTGGTACAGCGGAGTTATAGGAAAACAAAATATAAATAATCGACCAGACTTATAACTCAAGCTTGGACATCAAGTCGCTCATGAAGACTTTGTAGACCTCCAAATATCTGAGATTTTCATCATCGGTGGCGTCGTAACTCTCGTATCCTAATTCTTCCGAGGAATGTTCAATGCATTCCAATCTTTCTGGAGCTGCTTCTGTAATAGGTTCTTCGTGTTTTCGATCGCCTCCTTCATCTAATTGGGGCTTTTCGGGAGCAACTGGGACTTCTGGTTCGTCGGAAATCCCAAGGGCGTACTCGAGCTTCTAAAATATTATATTTTATGCAAGCTTTTAATTGATGAAAATAAACAGAAAACTACTACTGAAGTTGTTACAACCCTTATTTTACCTTCACTTCATTTGACTTTGGTCTTCCCAATCGATGACTGTAATCTCCATCCAAAACACTTTGTACCAGAGCTCCCAAAGCCTCGATATTCTCCTCAAACTCTCCTTTATCCATTCTTTTCAACATTTTTCCTGTTGGTTGTGGCGCATCCGGATGCTGACTGTAGAAACTTGTCATTCTTTCCTTCAAAGATTTGCATTTCGCGCTGAAATCTTCATAATTTTTCCATTTAAAATTCGCTTCCGATATGTCAAAGGGCATGCCATGGTCCAAGATTCCACTGGCTGGAACTGGATCAAATCTCTTTTCGACAACTCGAGGGTTTCCAGAGTTTACATAGACTTCTTTCACCTAAATTGTACAAAATAATATAAATACCAGTTTAACATACTTTAGCCTTGTTCTTTCTTTCTTCCAGTACCTTCTTTCTCTCCAATTTCTCCTGCCTTCTCTGTTCATCCCTCAGTTTTCTCATCTTCTCCTTTTCCAATTCCTCTTTATTGCTTCTGATTCCATCTTTGTCCATGACTAATCCAGTCTCATTCAAGTTTGCTGGTTTCTCCTTTACGAGTTCTTCCGTGTTCATCGATACATTTGAAGCCGCTGTTTCATTGAATCCACTGCTTCCAGGATGAAATTGACTTGAATTTGATGGTTCGTTCTTTTGAATTGAGGTGTTTCCATCTCCACTTTCTGTTATTTGACCTGACTTTGGGATTCGAATCACTCCAATTCCGTTTTTCTTTGACTTATCGGCATCACAACGCTGAGTAGCCTCAGATGCTGGTTCTCTTTCAGTTTTTTCATCCTGAATTTGTTCACTTGCTGCTTTCAAAATGGTCTCAGAGGTCTTCACTGTTCCACTGTTCTGTTCCGCATTATCCCCTTGCCCAAATTCTTCATCTTCTCCATCCTTATCCCTGTTCTCACCTTGACCAACTTCCGTCAAGTCCTTTTCCCTCCTTCTTCCATCTGGGAGGACATCAACTTTCTGAATAGCATTTAGGAACCAATAAATATAGGAGTTTGGGTTCTTGTAGGCATCATAATATCTGCATTTCCGCTCTCTATTTCTCGGCAGTCTGCACCAAAGGACTTCTTGTTCCAGTTCTGGTGGAAGTGGATGATCCAAAAATGGATTTACAGTCAGATCCTTGGCTTTGGCCTCATTGAGCAAAGCAAACATACGCGCTCGATCATATTCCTTTAAGTTCTTTGGCCATTCTTGGCCCGGAAAGACGGCAATTCCTTCCTTCGCAGCAGTTGGAGACCATTCTGGAGTCGAATTATTCAGATCCAATGGGTCTTTTGGAGGTGAAGATGGGATCGTCGGAGCCGACCAGTTGGTTGCCTCGCTGTCTGATGTCATGAATGGTTCGGGAGGGCATACAGGTACAGTAGGCTCGGGCTAAAAACACAAGGATAACGACACAAAAAACACCGAAAAAAATAAAAAAAGTACAGCATAAACTTTCAACAAATACCTGAGGCTCCAAGGCTTTTAATCTCTGGAATTCGAGGAATTCTTGGGCAAGTTTTTTATGTTCTTCAGACTCCTCATACACGTAGCTCTCGTCTGACGCGGTTTCTTTCAAAATCTCTTCTAGATCTTCATCATTAAAAACAAATTTGGAGTGACTGTAATGGAGCCATTCATCCTCCGAATGTTCATCTCTAATGTTGATCATATCCCTTTTCAGATAAAAAAGTTTCCTGACCCTGCTCCTAGTTGGCACAGTATTCCCAACTACCGGTTTTTCCTCATTGGTACTGATTTTAGGATAATTTCTAGGAACGGGATCGGCATTATATCCTTGACTCTCGCTGACTTGGATAGATGGAGGTTCCAGACGGGGCTAAAACAACATACAAATCATCACAGAACCTCATAACCTTCATCTTATCCTGCAAAAGTTTAAACTCACCACTAATCTTTCGCGTGTTTGATGGAATTCTTGATTTTCGGTGAGGTCAAATGGATAAAAAGAGTATAAATCCAACAATCTGACATCGAGATCCTTCTGGAGGATATGTTTTCTCACCAGATCTAGTTCTCCCATGTCATGGAGGAGGTGAATAACAGCGCCTTTACCTCCAAATCGCCCAGCTCGGCCACTTCGATGCATATGAGTGTCCGCATCGTTCGCCACTGATGCATTAATTACAAGATCCACTTTCGGAGCGTCAATTCCTCGAGCAGTCTAAAAAGGTACCAAACTAAACTAACAATGAGTGAAATACTTACGACATCCGTTGAGATAAGAACCTTAATCTGCCCTTTCTTCAGCTTATCGATCACAGCAAAACGCTCTTCCTGGGGAAGATTACCTGACATCAAAACGGCCTCAATTCCATTAGAAACAATAAATCCTTTGACCCGTTCACATCTAAAATAGTATCCTTGATGGTTTCACCTAAAGTCAAAAACAAAAAACACAGAAAAAACTTACAATGCCTGGCTATTACAGAACACGATGCATTGGTTGAAGACCAGCTTCGAACAAATTTCCACCAAGGCATCTCCTTTTTGGAAGTCCACACATTTGACTGCATATTCTTTGATTCCAATCAACGATTCCTCCTTTTCGTCGAGTCTGATGAGAGACGGAGAGTTCATATAGTCCTTAAGGACACTTTCCAGTCGTCTTGGATATGTAGCAGAGAACACGCAAACTTGCTTTGTGACCGACGGAAGTGACGAAAAGATGTAACTAAAGAAATAACAATAAAAGTATCAATGCTCACTTTATTTCTTTGATAAAGTCATCTTCCATTAACTTGTCAGCCTCATCAAGAACCATCAAACCGATATGTTCTGTTTTAAAGATTCCTTTTTTGATCAGATCCGCCAGTCTTCCACAAGTTCCTACAGCTACTTGACAACCTCTCTTGAGACGTTTGATATCTTCGTACTCATCGAATCCACCCACAAACAAACTGAAAACAGCATTACATAAAAACCAGTAAGAAAATCCTGTTTTGAGAAAGCAATTATATTATCCATGACAGCTGAACATACTGGGCAAAAAAATCCTTCGGAATGAAGTGAATTACAGTGTCGTAAATTTGCTTGGCAATCTCACGAGTTGGTGCGACAATCATCACCTGAGGTGCTACCTTTTTGGGAGAACCGAACAATAAATGAGCCGTCAAAACAGAGAAGATCAATGTCTTTCCAGTCCCAGCTTTGGCTTGAACAATCATGTCAGTCCCCAGCAACAACAAGGGAATTGATTTTGCTTGAACCGGAGTTGGCCTGAGATACTGTCGACGCTTCAGGATCTCCTGGATTTGCGGATCAATCATGAGTTCTTGAAACGTTTTTGCACATTGGATATCTGCACTTCGGTCATCGTAAATTCTTGCAAATTTCATCTAAAAACAAAAAAATAACTTCACGAGAAACGAACACTCACCTCCATGTTTTCATTAGCCATTTTTTCTTCCGGTCTTTCAACATTTCTATCGGAACTCATAAATTTTTACAATTTTTATTCTCCAATATCAAGTATAATATGGCTGCAGGTGTTGTGTAGCTGATGTGAGAGATTTGAGCACAATTTCTAGTGGAATTGCTCTAGATTAGCATAAAAACTGTCGTCTTGAGGACAGAAATCTCTTGGCAAATATCTTCTTTGACGAAATGCCACAGCTGAGACGAAATGTAAAAATTGATTGTAAATTTATTGCCAAAATCTTCAAATTTTGACATGAGTAAGGTGAGTGTCAAAGTACGCGATCATCCGCGAGTTATTACAGCTAGAAAGGCTGAGTTTTCGGAATTTTGAGTATTTTTTTATATTATTTTAGGGGTTTAGCAGTAAATGCTTCGGCGTTTGGTTAGTGCAGGCCGGGCGTTGCGGGTACCTCGTCGAGAAGCTCAAACACAGGTCAAAGGAAGTGTGGATAAAGCAGTAGCATATTATTATGACGTTATTGGGATAACAGAAGTTACAAAAGCTAAAGCTGATGTGATCCAGGTAAGATTTTTAATTGTTTCTTGATTTTTAGGTGATGTGATACATTCTTTTTGTTGCCGAAGTATTCTATTTTGGTTTATTTAGTGGGAGCAACGATTGAGCGAAGCACAACTTGCCAGACGACAAAAACAATTCGAGTTGCGTAAACTTCAGGCAAGACTCAAGGAAATCCACAATGAACTCGACAGAACTCCTCGAGGGCAAGATCGTTACTTGCATTTGATCACCGAGGAACACGAGAACATCAAGAAAGAACATAATCTAATGGAAGAGTTTGAAATTTTGGAGAATAACGAGAGGGAAGCGTTCCATCAGCTTTCTAATAAAGTAGGAGAATATAATCTTGATTTTTTCTTCAAATTAGATCAATTTGGTTCTTGATGTCAGTCTTCTATTGAATATCTTTTTTCAGGTAAGAGTAAGTCAAGAGAAGGAGCGGGAACGAGAAGAGCGAACCAAGTACTGGTCTCTAACAGCTTCGTTGATAGGTGCACTCCTCGGAATCATTGGCACATCAATAGGAAACGAGTTGCGGATGAGGAAATTCAGGGACATGCTGCCAACTTCTTCCGAAGTCAGACCTCTTCTCGAAGAGATCGCTCAAATTACACATAAGGAACAGACACAGGTAAGATAAGTTTAATTAATGCTGATTTCTGTTGTCATTGACGGTTTTGTCAGCTGAATATTCTGTTTTTAGATCAGTGCTTTCATTGGGGAGCTGAAGAAAGTATTCGAGCTGGATTCTCCAAAGCTGGGAAATGTTAAACTTGAAAAACCAGAGGGAGATGTTGATCGATTTGTGAAAATAATCAAGGATCAGGTGAGCAGGATTTTTATACATAAATATAAGAAGATTGCTTTTTGTTTTGAAAATAATTTTTTCTTCAAATTTCATTTCCAGAACGCCGAATTGACCTCTCAAATGGCCGAATTAAAGCGGCTTTTGGCCCTGAACAGAGCTCTTGAAGCCGATCCAAATGCCGTTGTGTATGTCGGAGATGAGATGGAACTCCTGTTGAAGAAGACCGAAGAGAATATCGAGTCCAAAATGAAGCTACAGACCCTCCTAATAGTTGTGCTAGCATATGGAATAGTGGGTGTTGCAGCGCCATTACTATATCTCTGGTACACTCGAGATTTGTAGGCTCTTGTAAGTTATGAAATAGGCTAGATTGTAAGGCGAATACAAGTAATAAACAGTCAAACCGGTAGCCAAAAAATACAAATTGAAAATTCGGTACAATATCTAAATTTATTTTCAAAAACAAATATAATTTAATCAGAAATTTACAATTACGAATTCAAAACTTGTTTTCGTTCGCTGAAATACTGAAAGATTGTATTTAAAATATTTTAAGAGTCTTAAAAATCTAGTTCCGTCTGTAAATATGTCCTTAAATTATCATTCCCAGCACTGTATATTACAACACTGTCTAAAACAATCAATCCATCACTAAAACTTCGTCCATCGTCTTTTTGAGTAGATTGTCGACGAAATTGGACACAGAGGCTTCGTTGGCAGTTCCATCGGCTTCGTTATGAGGCTCCAGAGATTCGGTCGACCGGGAATGAGTCCCATTGACGGGTGGGAGGCTGGAATCTCGATGGAGAAATGCGTTCTCACCAAGAGTGCTGGTCGGGATCGCTCTAATTGCGCCGAAGGAAACTCGACGACCTCGGTTTTTGGCCTGAAATTGAAGATTTTTTATTTTTGTATAATCCATGATGACTTACAGTGGCGGACCTGATCCAGTGGTAAAAAATGTATCATTTTGCATCCGGGAAGTATCAGAAAATATAGCAAAATACCTCCCTCCCCAAGCGAAAAAACTCCGATTTCAAAAGCGCGCCCGTTCTTTTTGTGAGGGAAAGCCCTTCAAAACGAAGTTTTTTCATTTGGAGAGGGAAGCATTTTGCTACATTTTTTGGTACTTCCCTGATGCAAAATGGTACATTTTTTGCCACTGAACCAGGTCCGTCGCTGTAGATTGAAAATAGGCAGAGTCTTTGAGACTTCTTCTATATATTTTTTGGCTTTATCCAGAAGATTATGACCCTAGTTATCTATCTTGTGCTAGAACCTTTTATCTGCAGTTTGACTAAAAAAATTTTTTTATCTTATCCATGATCTTTTTGGAGGTCATGGTGAAAAAATAGTATATATTTCCCTACCTGAATTCCCAGAAGCCCTGATTGATTGTTCGACCGGTCGCTATTAATACTGTTAATGCCATTAAGTGAATTGGTTGGGAACTCGTCTTCCTCATTGTTATTATCAAGAATAATATTAGTAACTGGGGTTGTAATCAGTGGCGAGCTTGAAGCTCGACTTGAACTGACGGGTAGATCTGATTGGGCAAAGATATCAGCCAAAGTGTGAGGTTGGAAGCCGGGGAATGCTTGTTTTAGATCCACTCCGACCAATCTTTTGCCGATTCCGAATTTAATATTCCCGGTTCTTTCGAGAGCTCCCAAAAGTTGAGTGGAATCGAGAAGACGGGCGGTTATGGGACCATTCACGTCTACGTAGTTGATGTCTTTGAAGAATTGGGCTCCAAAGAAGGCAATGTTCATCTGAAAAAAAGTTTTGGATAGCATTCGAGAGTTTTTGAAATTCTCATGGATACCTTTTGACACTTTTTTAAGAGCAGTTTTCAAGACTACTCACCTGATAAGGCAATTTTCCATCTGTTTTGTACGTTAGAGTGTCCACAATAACCGCTTTGAGGACTCGGGATAAAAGCGGCCACACTTTCTTCAAGGGCACTTCGGCTTGCGTCTCGTCCTCCATTTCAGCCGCATATTCATCAGTATCGATTCGGCCGGCCAATTCTACTACCCGATTACTGGCTCGGTACAGGCTAATCTTTGACTAAAATTTGGGATGTCAATTTATGATCAATATAAACAGATATCTTGAGTAGAAAAAGATCTTAATGAAGTTTCTTACCAGCTCTTGCCTAAGGAAGATCCCACCAGTCCATTCGTAGTCATACTCCCAGTCAAACGCTTGCTTCGCGGCGTTACTCATATCTCGGAATAAGGGCTCGGTCATTGTCCCGGCGGGAAAGGTGAACTTGAACATGACTTGAAGTTCGGTCTCTCTGGGGAAATGCGACCAATGGAGAGCCTGGAATATGTATATATTATATACAGTACATCTAGAAAGTTTGACGTCAAAAAAAAATAGAAATTTTGATAACAAGGGTGTCAAGTGTAATATGACCGATATGACAACCCTGAGTTGTGTTATGTTTGTGGAGGTAATAATACGAAGATAAGAGGTTACAAGCATCATATTGCCATATAAAGTACCACTTTATACTTACCGGTGGCTTCGAAAAAAGCGATGGTCTCCTGGCCAGCGAATCTTTGATGACCAATCCATTTTTCAAGTCAAAATTGTTGGCAATCAGAGTCTAAATTAATAAATTATACGTCAAAATTATTTTACAAGCCCTGTCACAGTATTGAACAAGCTAACTCACCGGTAATTCCGGGTCGTCGAAGTGAACAATCGAATAATTTGGCATTTTTGGCGAAGTCCAGAGATCAATTCTCTTCAAGGCCTCGGCTCTGGCCTCGCTTTCGGCCAACTTTCGAACTTTTTCGAATTGAAAAGTCCACTCTTGGCACCACTGTTGGCGAACGTCCAGCATTAGATTCTGAAGGGTGTCGCGGTCGGAGGAATCGTAATCTTTTTTTACAATCATCAGTTTTCCTTGACCGTCCGGGCACTGAAAAGTTTCAATTTTATGTGGATTAGTGATAGCTTGGCAGTAATAATTTAAAGTGTATGTCGAATAGAGTCTGAGCAACGCAATAAAGTCATTCTCATTGATGTATGGTGCTTACATGAGCCATCATGAGTCTGGCGATATCGCCGATCGTCTCCATCATCAGTTGATCCCAATTTTTGGCCACAAGGATCATAATTTTGTTGTTCGGTGCGCAATGATCTCTTCGTTTGGCCAGCATAGCATGCGCTTCGTCTTGATTATGATCTTCTGGAGATCCATCGAGAACGGGGCTATTTAGGATCAAGAGTTTCAGACGTTCCAGGAGGTTCTCGTTCTCACTGATTATATACATGGCTGGCTGGATATCGTGGCTATAACGCAGATATTAGTGGACTTATGGGAAATACGAATTCCAGCGTGGTTATATAGCGATATAGCGTCAGCAGTATGAAAATAAATAAACTTTAACAAAGAAAATGACGCATTTATGGCAAGAAAGTTAAACTTCAAGAAGATCATGTTAAACATGGCATGTCTATCATACATCATCATAAAATTTAACAGACGTTAATAATACACGCAGACAATCACCTCAAATTACCCGAAAAACGTTCGTGATATTTGGATGGAAACATGGGAGCGGTTGAAATGCCGTAATTACTAGAAATATCTCCGAAATTTGACACGCATTTGCATATTCGTGACATGAAAAGCGGATGTAAGACAAGACCCTGACATTCAAGCACAAACATACACACGAAATATGAAGTTGATACTATGTGAGCAATGTTTATGTGATCATTAATTTATGACCGGAGATGGTACGTTAATGAAAAGTGTGAAAAAAGTTGCTAAAATACAGGGTAAAACGTGTTGTTTAGAAATCTAAATCGGTGAATGATAATCTGGTGGATGTTTTGAGTAAGTTCAACTTTTCAGCGATAATATATACTTTGATGTCTCTAGTCGACTGTCACCTCCATCGGCTGACAAACTAACAGAATTAGGCTTCGCCAACATGTTATAATAATATCTGGGCCGTTCCCGGAAGCAGTGCAAGACCGGGCCGACCCGTGCCGAGCGGAAGGCAAGCCTTCACAACTCCGCTGGTCCCAAAAATCTGTTAATCTCGAATGACTTCAATAGAAGTCGTACCGGAGATTAAACCGATAAGAACAGATACTACACTTTGATCTTAGCCAAAAGGCCGAGAAGCGATAAAGGAACGGGGAAATTTGGATCGGCTCTGCTTTCCCTTTCCAGAAAAACAAATGGGTTCTCTTTTGGGGCGAGGAAGTTAGAGAAAGGTTTGGAAGAACGAGGAGAAATGCGGCTTGTTGCGCAAGGAAATCGGGCAAAATTGAAAGGCAGATTGAAAAAATGTGGTTCTATTTACATTGTCTAATAAAAAACAGGGTGAGAGAGGACCAAAATATTTAAACATTGTTTATTTTTGTACAAGAAGATCCACAGTTTTTTAAAAATATTATTCCTAATTGGTATATGAATATATTCAATGAGAACATGCCCTCGGGCTCAACCCACATTACTCCACACATAAATTTATCGTCCTGGTTTCAGAATGAAATATTCATAAATTAGACATCAGAAATGCCTTTCCCGTGCCCATCTTTAATATTTTATCGAATAATATTATATATCGGGCATGCAAATGAAAATGTTTTCAGCTACGTTTAGGAGAGTGATACAAGGTCTAACGCAACATTACTGATCTCTGAAAAGACTGTAAAACAAAAGCGAAACAGCCCAAAGTCTATGAGTACAGCCTAATCGAGTTATCCGACCCTTTTGTGTTGGGGATTTGCAATTACTCGGTTAATTAATTTAACTTTAATTGGGTCGTTCCATTGCCAAGAGGGGCAAGGTCCTAAAGTGGTGTACTCAGGGTTTCAATCGAGAAAACTGGAGGGATTCTGGATAAAAATAAAATGTTTACAACTTTGGAAAGTTTTTTGGAAAACATGCAAAGGACAGCTGAAATCGCTGAAACTTTAGCCATTTTTGATAAGGGCAAAGGCTATAAATTAGAACATTTATAGGAGTTGCATCAATACAGTGACGAACTGAAAACTTTCCTTATTTTCTTCTGTCTAACATTAGGTGTGCAAAGACCGTTGAAAATCTCGGTTGGCCCTCTAAACCGAGAAGAAATTTCAGAAATTTCCAGGTGTTGATACAAAGTCCACCGAGATTGGCTATACAAAATTCTAACAATATTAATTTTTCACGCTTCGAGATTCCGTGCTAACATAAAGTATAATACATGACACGGTTTTGGTCCCTTTAAACCAATTTTGCCATAGTCAGGCCCCTAGTTGTATTAAATACACCCAACCCAATCACTGATTTTTTTGATTTTTCGCTCATCCAAATCTAGACTGACTGACATCAAAAATGATGACATAAAACTCCGAGCAACGCCATTAATACACCAAGAATGTATGTATCCTCGTTCAATTAGTCCCAAATTAACTTCTAATTAACTAATCTCACATTGTAAACAGACACATGTATTAAAATAAAATTGCCTTCAGATCACCTCACTTGTCAGAGTAGACAAAAACAAAAAACAGATCGAACCCGTCCTCGTCCTAAGTGCAATAAGTTATAAATCGAATTAAAAAAGTTAAAAATAGATGAAAGAATTACTGCGGAAGGTTATTTTGATCACTAAAAATCGAAAATTGATCTTTGAGATACACTTTACAACAAACCAAAGCGCAATGGAAATAACGCCTGAGGCAAAATTTTCCCGAAAACAGCTGCATTGTGCAAGAAAAATGCAATTACAGAATACGTAAGAAAGTGATATGTCACAAACACTCTAATATAACCATGGGTTTCGAGTTTTCGATCCCAAAAAAGGATTTCCATAGGAAATTCATTGTAAACTCCAGACGGCGAGGGGAATTATTGAATTAAAAAGGTTTGAAAACATTGACAATGCAATTTTGTTAGACATATCACGTAATAAAAGAGTGGAAGAGGTTTCAAAAAATTTGGGGAAAATACATAATTTTGAAATCGGCGGCTTCAATTTGACAGAAATGGTAAAATTTGATGATTTTTTATAAAAAAATTGAATTCTCTGGCCTCTATTATTGGCGATAGCCAAAAATCGATTGATGAATTAAATGCGCAGCCTCCCAAAATTACTCCTGTCATCTCTGGTGCCGGCCGAACATCCAAAAAAAACATCCAGAATCCTCACGAAAACCACCGCTCAAGTATCAATTTCTCGGCCAAATTTCTTCCTGTCAGCCCTGCTATTCTTTACAATATTCGCGGCATCCTGACACACTCAACGGCTCTAACGTCGGCCCCTCAAAAGGAGTTTTAAATTACATTTCATGAACTTTTTCTCGCGGCCCAAAATCAAACTTGCGGCCGGTTGGAGGGGCTGTCAGAAACAAACATTTGAGACGTTTTGCCCGGAGGTGAGGGGCCAAAAATAGAAAGTAAATACAACATGATAAGCGCGCCAATATTAATAGCGACATGGCACGAGGGGGAAGAGTGTTGATGACATCAGGAATGGGCACCACACTTGATACGGCGGTTCAACTTCGAGGTCAGGAGTAAGGATATTTGGGGTGGTCCAAAATTCTGAAAAGAACCTTGTAGTACCATTGGATGATGGCAGTGATTTGGAGGGCAAAATATGACACCTTTCGACACTTTCAAGATAAGAAAATGGCAGCTATTAGGTTGTCCAATAAGTAATGTCGTTTTCGAGAGGGGTACCTTCCAAAGTCAATAAAAAAGGTAAACGACAACAAAATTTCACAATATTGGATCATTTTGTTGCCGAGAACTAAAGGTTTCGTTAGACATATCACTTGCCACATTTGGATCAATTTACAGTAATTTAGCTCTAATTCAAGATGGAAAAAAGGAGGAAAAAAGTCAATTCGTGTCACCATGTTGTATGAGCAAAAACAGGGTACGAAAGTTACAGAAGTTACACAAAATATCAACGCCATGTTCGGGAGTCTGATGTGAGTCTGAACGCGGTGAACCGAGGGTTAAAAAAATTTATCATTTAAAAATATTTATTGGACAACCTAATATGTATTTCTGGTGTCTACTGCAAAACAGAGTTCTTCTGTGGAAATTGGCAGAAAATATAATAGCTTTCGCCTGCCCAACATCACTCAGTTTCAGTACTCTTTAGCCTGTAAAGCTTGCTGAATATCTTGCCAGTCGTTGCAAATCAATAGCCCAGGTTTTCAGCGATTGATGCAACCTGCATCAATCGAAGGGAGGTGAGGTTGCCAAATTTTAAGAAGCTTTGAGCCTTTCATCTCAAGTGCTTATCTAATCCATTTTTTCTACATGTAAAAGAAAAACTTTCCAAGAAATCACAGCCAAACCCACGCAGCTCCATTATCTTCTACCTATGTCCAACTGCAAAAAGTAACTTTTAATTGAAACACCTCCAGTTGTTCCCATTCAAATCCTGAGACAAGAGATAATCCCTGTTGTTACCTCACTCAGAACCGTAATCTCCAGTTCAAATTAAATTCTCAAAACAAATACCTGGGACACACGGAAAGCTAAACCAAGTTATACACACGCACGTAATTAATTTTCCCGTATAAAAACACCTTTTTTTGGAACACAATAATGGAATTTGATTACTTTACAATCAGAAAAACAAAGGAATGTGAGAATTTCCCGCAAACCGAATTTGTTATGCAAATTGTCGAGTGAAATGACCTCGGGGAATGGAAATCTGTGGGGTTTAGGGATTGGCGGTGAAGTGTCTGCGATTAGATCCCTCTGTCGCTTGTACTTGCTACGTTTGCGTGAGACCGAAACATCAATGAAAATTGCGGTTTGAACTGATTGTGAACAGAATGGGCAAAGATTTATTGCAAAAAATATTGTCATTGCATATAGGAGACCACTTGGAAAGAAGGATTATTGAAAATTAAAAAAATTGTCTGACGTGAGAAAAATAGTGTTTTTGATCGTCGGTACAGTTTGTATCATAAATGGAACCTTTGGTGGTGTTTTTAACGCTTCAGCAAAAACTACAATTTGATAGCCAAGTCTTTATCTGCAGTTCTAATAAAAAACATCTATAAAACTCGTCAAATGAGCAAAGGTTTTGTACGTGATGTATGTTTTGACGCGTCGTACTCTGTAGTAATATCTGGGCCGTTCCCGGAAGTAGTGCAAGACCGGGCCGACCCGTGCCGAGCGGAAGGCAAGCCTTCACAACTCCGCTGGTCCCAAAAATCTGTTAATCTCGAATGACTTCAATAGAAGTCGTACCGGAGATTAAACCGATAAGAACAGATACTACACTTTGATCTTAGCCAAAAG